TAAAACAAAACAAACAAATCTTACGCTGTTGGCACCTCTAAACGAAGCCATTTTAGATGAATAAATTATTACATCATCGCACCCCTCGTACGAAATTTGAGCCGAATATAAATCGCAGACGGTGCTGGTGACTGTGAGAGTGTCGCAGGTGTACAAACACAAAAACAGTTTTACACATTCGCCATTAAAATCACGACTAAAATCATCATAAACACCTAAAGGCACATAGATATTCTACCTATACATGTACCTGTAGTTGTATTTTTAATTTTTATGTACATAGTAATCCAGAAAGTTTAAAAAAAATCAAATTGTGATTTAATCACCACACAAAATGCAGTATGTGAATATGTGAGTGTGGGGTTTGGCACGTAGTGCTTATAGTCCACCTTTATTTCACTGGTGTAGATTTGGTGGCGGACGAAAAAAGACAGCGAGAGTTGCAGCGGTTGCCGCCAATACTGCTGGTGCTGTGTCACGTAGCTTACGCTCCGGACAATATTTACGTGCGTCAGTGTTGGTGTATATGTGTATGCCTATACCTCGGGCGGTTTTCGGTTATGAACCCATAAATTACACGCGTCTGCTTTGCTTTCGGGGGACTCTACCTATCACAGCGCCATCTATACCATCCATATTCAAACTTTTTTAATTTTTTAATTTTCTTTTAAATTTCGTTATTTTACAAACAAATTTTATAATTTTCGTAATTTCTAATCATCCTAATCATAAATGGATTACTCTACACCAATTCTACTCTACATGGCATTATGTGCTGTGGGTACGTGATGAAGCGGGTGGTTTTAATGCGTTTTCTCAGTTTAATAGACGCGCTGGTGCCTTTCAGCTTTCCGCAGACTGACTGATTGTGATAGAACTCGTCGAGTAGAAGCTCAACCCGCGTAAGACAAACTTCCGTTAGCGGAGGGGCTTAACGAAGAGGCTTGATGCTGATGAAAGATCGATAGGATTTAAAACGAGACGCCGAAAACAAAAGATAACCCCAAAAATTCAATTTTTAATATTTTTAGGTTATGTTAGGTTATATTTTAATGGCTAGTATATATTAAGTGGTTTCGTTAGGTTTCTGAAGGTGAGTACTTACTTTGTGCGTTCCGTGTTCCACGTTGCGCCTTTTGGGAATGGCAAGCGCAAAGCGGACTCCCCGCTGCGAATATATTAAGCGGCGTTTTCCCAAAACGCACTCACACACATACGAAAGCTTTTTGGTGAATGTATGTGTGCGCAACAAAGAGGGGACATTAGTGCCGCTGAGCGAACGTTTTCTTTCTTGATGACGGTGCGCTCTGCGCACACCAACTCTCCCGCTCTGCCAAATGCACCGAAACGAAGAGATACGAGGTTATACAGGCGACAGCCTACGATCCATGTGTTGCGAAGCGCTTTTTTTCTTTCTTCTATTCCAAATTCCACATTTTTTCTCTTTCTTTCTCTGCTTTTCACGTCCCATCACTCCGGGTGACAGATTAGCATGTGACCGAGACACATAATGGGCCACCGGCCTCGGAAACAAATCACTTTGACCATTTTCATCTGTTTCCATACCATTAGACGATTAGATGCGCAGCATTAGTACGATTCATTTTTTTAAACGCTCATAATATGCAAAGTGTTAAATGTGTTGCCTATAGTTACCTACATTATGTTATATTACATTAGTTTCTGTTTGGGAACGTTTTTTTAAAGGCTAGATTAGGTAATATTACAGAAAGTGTAATTAAGATTAGACTCGTCGTTGGATCAGTGTGGTCGTTACCAACCCCGGGCACGTAGCGTGCACGCGCGTTGCGAGATTAGCCATTAGGAGAAAGTGCGCCCTCTGGAGGCGGACATTAGGCGTGCGCGTGTGCCTAGAGCGGAAAGTGTGTCCCAAATGCGGTTAAAACGTGCCCTCGGTGTTTACTTACGCGGGCATCCCTTCCTGATTGCCTAAAATTGGATTTTCCATGTGTAAGTTACATCTTAATCAAAATAATAAAGAAAAACATTCATTTTTATCTTTTTTTGCTGTCAAAACTTAATAATCACATAATTTTGACATTTGACAGATGTTGACGTGTCGATTTGGAGATACATTGATAAATGACAGTTCAAAACTGTCTAGTCATCGTTTTCCACATGTTTCTAATCCTTATTGATTGATATTTTTCTTTGAAATGTTTTTTTTAATGGTTGTGTGTATAATGCAATGGTCAACTTTGAATATGTTGACCTAGGTTATGTTGCACGTGCGTCGTGTAGTATTTGTATTTGCGTTCGGTTCGCTCACCCACCACTTGTGTTTGTGTGCTTCATTTGCTTCATTGGACCTCACTTGTTACCCCTCTCTCTTTTGTTTCGTTCCAAGTTCAGTGGACACCACCACTCAAGCGGCTCTTCACTCGAGTCTCGTCTCTTCATTTGCATTGTTAATGAGTCGCACTTGGTGCACAAATCATATATAAACAGAAACAGGCGGATTGTTAATGAGTTCACTTGTTCACACAAATATACAAAACATCAAAAAAAAAAGAGAAAGACGTGAATATAATGATAAAATCATTATGTTGGTGATTCAATTTGTTTGAGGTTAACATTGTCATTCGGGTGGTCGGCCATTTTTATACCTGCTTTGACATTTGACATCTGGCGAAACAAACGAAGCACTGATGTTGTTATTTTTTGCCTGTGGCATTATTCTTTCCTTTTCTTCATGCGTGTGTGTTGTGTTGTAAGTTCTTCTTTGATGCTTTCCTGATGATGATCGTGATGAGCACGCCGCCACACCGCACGCTGCATGCAGCACGCACGTTTTAAGTGTCGTCAGGTGTCCGCACTTTCCTTCTCTTTTCTTCTCATTGTGTTTAGTATCATTCTGTCTCTCTTAGATTAACGATGCTACTTTCATATGGTTGTGTTGCGTGGTATTGCTATCTCTCTTTTACACATGTAATATAATGGAGTATTGTGGTGCGTCTATTCGACATTCATTTATTACGCCGATGGGATGCGCGCTCCGCCGAACGATGACGGACGAACACGGCCGTGATGGAGGGTTTCCCCTCGCTCGCGCCACCCGAGGGCGGATTTTCGAGCGCGCGCTGGCATGGCGTGTGTAGACGACGGTAGACTTCTTGGAAGGCGCGCATCATGAAAACAGGTTGCTGAACGCGCGCGCCTTGTGCGTTGTGGACTTGTGTGGAAGAAATAGAAATGTCAGCGTCACGGCATGTGCATTGGGTTGTTTTTTTTTTAGGGGCCAGCGCCCAAATCAAAGATGCCGCACACATCTTTTCTTTCGTATTGTATGGCAAGAGAGGACCTGTTAACACGTGATGAGTGTGTGGGATAGAAGACTGGTAGAGGTGGAAATGTTTCTTGAAGTTTTTGGGAGACTCAAGAAACGATTAGAGGAAAAATGTGCGGGGAAAATGCTTTGATGTTGTGGCTTTGAGGAAATGAAATTTTCCAGCGTTCAAGCTGCTTGGGAGAATATTGAAAACGTCAAAAGTACCAAAATATAAGCTTTCTTATGAGAATATTTGCTTTTGAAGCTTAGAGAAGTAATTTTTTGGTGTTTTTGAAGAAATTTTCACTTCAAATGTGATTTTCTCTTAAACTATTGGTCGGATTTTGTTCAAATTTGGTATTCACCTAGGTTTTTACAATATCTAAGTTAATCTTGAATCTTTTTTAATTTAGTAGCTGATTTACGTCCTAAAAACCTAAAAATTGTGGATTTTTTAGACAAAAAGCCTTGTAAATCTTTCAAAAATAAGAATTTAAAAAAAATCTTTTTACATAACATTTCTCATAGTACCAGTTACATCTGTGATTTTTTTTGTAATTTTTCTTCCAATAGTTTGCCCATAATCGCTGTTTCCGCAGCAGCTAAACTAACAAAACATCCATATGAAAAATGTCGAATATTTTCGGAATTTTTGATTTAATTCATAATCAAACAGTACCATCTCTTAGTATATTAAACATTAGACATTCCCCAACCTATTTTAACTTGATCCAGAGTTCCACCTCTTCAAAATCTCTTAAAAACCGCTTTACACTCTAAATTCTCCAATTTTTACTTACAAACAACGCGACACTGCAACAATACGCTCATCAATAACGCCCGTCGACGTTTTCAAACCCAACCGACCTCGAATACGACATTCATCAAAATCCCCAGCACCCATCGTCAAATGGTAACCGAAAGCTTTCGCAACCCATACGCAGGAATCCGCCCAAACGACTCCGAGAAAAACAGCCTCACATGCGGCCATGATGGATTTCAAGCTATGCAACTTGTCGTTTTTATCGCACACGTGATTGATGTGCGCGCCTAATACGCGCTGAATTTAAAACATGCGAACACCACTCGTAAGTTTCAATTCGAATTGAGTCATGTGAAGTGTACGCTATTTACTGCCGGGATAAACACATCATTTGTTCCGAGTGCCAACAAACATTTGCATACAAAAGCGCCATTGTTTCCCAATCCGACCGCGCGCGGACGTGTGCGTGTGTAGATGTGTGCCATGTCGCGCTAATAAAATATGGTGGACTGCGACGAGTGGTCGGCGCACTCACAGCACCAACCTTCATTTGTTCAGTCTGCGCCGCGCATTCATTTATTTCCGTCCTGGCTCACTGGCTCAAACATTCGATATCATTCTATTGCATTTTAACTTTTTGATTGTATTGATGAATGAGAAGGAAAGAGAGTGACGCGTTTTTGGTATTCCGATGACCCCTCTAGTTTCGTAAGAAACGCATGCGATGCGGCGTTCGTCCCTCTTGAATACATCGCGCTTTCTCGCTTGCTGTCGTCCAATGAGCACGATGGTGGGGTGAAAACACACACGATTGGTTGTCCCAAGGTCATCCACTCTGCGTTCGAGGCTTGTGCTGTGGCGTGCTGCGCATGCGTCGCCTACCGTTTTCCATTTTTCGTCGGCGTTGCATGGCGAGCGGCACCCAGCGCGCAGTTTCATACCGGAGTGCGCGCGGTTCGTGTTGCCTACATTGCTCGCCAAGCACACACACACACATACATTCATCTCTTACTCTTGAACTCAGTGGCGTCCCATGGAATTTGTGCAGTGTTCCAAAACAATTTCGATGTGTAATTCATTCCAAACAACGCCTGGACACCGAAATCTCATTTGAGTTGTTTAATAATTTGTTTTGTTTTGACAATCAGCAATTGCGAATTGTTTATGTGCGGCGCGCTCGCCAGTTTTGTGCGCGATTGAGTTGCGTTTGATTTGATAATGGAACGGAGGTCTTATGGTTTCTTTACGAAAAGGTTTGCTTTGGTTTTGTTTTTTGGTTTTTGCATCTAATTTAAGTTGGGTTATGGTAATTAAACGCAAGTGAGATGGGTTGTGAAACTTCTGGATTACGATTCGCGCTTGAATAAAACGGTAGGAAACAAAAACAAAAAAAACAATCGATGTATTGTGTGTTGTCTAATCTGCATGTTTGTGTCTATGTTGTGAATTAAGTTTAAAATTGCGAAAATTACATTACATCACATGTCCGCGCGCACGTCCCTGAGTCTCTGAGTCTGTGCGAATTTCGGTCCGTATTTCCCCTCGTTGGCGTCTTTCTTTGTGGGCTGGTCCGCAGCCGGTGCGAGCACTGGCTGGTGCCCCGCTCTACACTCACGTATTGATGACGACTTGGCAACGTCGCTCGCTTGCCTTGGGGGATATTCGTATTTCTATTCTTGTTTCGCACGATGGTTGTTTCTCTTCAACTTGTGGGCGATGTGGATGCGGTTCGTTTAAAGCTGATAACTTGGTGCGGATCGTGAACGATCCGTGGCGAACGTTCCATCGGCTTTAGGTTTTTCTCCGGCGGTCGAACCAACCGAGTTGAACCGTCGTTATCCAACCAGCGCAAGATGGAGAGAGACGCGGCTAGTGCGTGCAGTTAAATTTATGTCTCGGGCCAGCGTACGTGGTTGCCACATTTATCAAAACAAATGCGCTATGCGCTTTTTGTTTCTAAACATATTTATATTTATAAAAATGTATTTTAATATTTTCTGCATTCTGTAGTATTCGTATTTGTGTGAAATAGTTTTTCTTGTTGATATGGTGTATTCGTGCATTTTCGGGTTTTTGGTTGAAAATTCGTTTTCTGCGCGCCGGGTGCGAGCGACAGGAAAATAACGAATACCGACGAGGGTTGGACTCTATTATGTTTGCTCTCCCCTTGCTTTGCGTTCCCCTTGGTACGCTTGAAGCTCTCTCCTGGCAACCGTGGCGCAGGGGAGCGAAATGGCATGAGCGCGAATGCCTTTCGCGTTCGGCCGGGTTTCACCCTCGTGCCGATCGCTTGCAAGAGGGTTTCGGATATCTGGAGGGGTTTTTGCACCGCTTCCGACCAAGGGGGAGCGGCCATTGGGGCGCAAAACGCCATTAGTGGAAGCCCTACAGCACGGAAATTACGAAACCGTACACGCTGCGCCATCTCTTATTGCGCACACGCACTATTCGCACCCCAAATGTAATAAGAGCGGCCGCGCGCGCGTTTGTAGGCTTCCCAGCGCGTGTTTTAATTTATGCTTGGGGTGAAGAGAGTTTGGGAAATGGAGATGATGGAGAGATGCAAGATGCACGACGGTTGTGTGCATTTGCATAAGAACTGGGCGCTCGCTCAGCGGGCGAGGAATGGAAGGCCAACTCCGCCCCGTTTTCAACGTGCTATTATCGCCGGGGCGAACACTAAAGTCGATTTCACGACGGGCCGTAAATACCCCATGGCGTCTCTCCCATTTCGTTTCCATGTGCGAGATGCACTCGTAAAAGCAATTTCACTCGGCACATGGGCGCACATTTTTCAAAACGTACCCGAAACGCAGGTATACGGATATTCACGAAAATAAGCCGCACTTGCATGCATCTGGGAAAGTAACGAAAACTTTCCAGTAAGTACGTTACTTTGAATTTAGAAAAGTTTTACGCCAGGCAAACTTTCAGCTTTGAGTCTAGACGAAATTTAATACAAAATGTATTAGCGAGGACAAAACAAGAAAGATTTTCTCCCGCATCGGTAGAAAAAGTAGTTATCCGACGAATGTTACACAGGGACGGATTTATAATTATGTTTTGGTGTTAATTTTGTGTTTTTTAAAGCAAAATTGGCGGATTTATTGGAGAAAATTCTAATTTTTGTTTTTATGTTGAATTTTTTCTTTGGTTGTTTTTGTTTTGTAAGTTTTGTTAAGTTTGTTGTTCGTTTCTTCGTTCTTCATTTACATTTTACGGCGTCCCTGCATTCCACATACGGGACATGTGCGTGATTACTGATTACATGTGAAATGCGCTGCAAAATGGAGCACGTTGGCTATAACATTGAAGACACGGTGCAATGGAAACATGAAAAGAATGTGCAGCTGCCGCTTTTCACGTCACGGCAACACCACAGCCCTGTGCTTTGCCCGTCAACCACTAAACGAAGTCGTCAACAATTAAATCCTATTCACATTCTTTTCAATTAAAAACGTTTTAATTGTTTTTTTTAAGATTTCCTTAAATTTTGTTGATATTTTTGTTATTTTCTGAGTTATCCTGTATATATGAAATGTTTTTACTGATGAATAATTTTTTTCATCCAGTTCATCTGGTTTCCCATCTTGTTCTGGGCCCCTTTTCGATAACACACACTAAAAAACACAATCATCCCCTTTTTGTCACGGCACCCGAGAGTACCATCCTCATCTTCTCACCCCTTGTATAAAATTTCTGTGTTTTATTCATTCACTCATTTTGTGTTTCGACGGTTTCGTCCCATGCGCATCGTTTTTCAACGAATTTTTTTATTGTCTGCTTGCAGATCTCAGCACTACGACAACCTCCAAGCCGAGCAGCAGCAACAACAGCAGAAGCAGCCGCTGAAAGATACCACAAACGTCGTCGGTCTTAAATCCAATAAAGTTAACAACAACGACGAAGCTGAACCGGAGTCCACGCAGACTTTACAACCGTCAAACGCTGCACAGCCGGAGGGTAGTCGATCGCTTCAGTGTCTTGAAACTCTTGCGCAGAAAGCTGGTATTTTTGATATTACCGCTGAAGATTGCAAGTACGATGCTGCCACCACGCTGCTGAACTTGGAGCGTGGTCAGTATAACAATATGAGCGAATTGAATAAATCCGGACAGATGGATCAGAATCAACAGCAACAGGGCAACGCCCAGCAAGGGCAACAACAACAGCAACAACAACAGCAGCAGCAACAACAACAACAGCAACAGCAACAGCAACAAGCTCAAGTAGTACAACAGCAAGTCGTCCAACAACAGCAGATACAACAGGTGCAAATGCAGCCGGATCAGACTATGGTCCCTGCTCAATCTCCACAACATCAACTCCAACAGATATCTTCAGTTTCATCCGGAGGACAACTACAGACATCAATGGGTCCCCCGCAGCATACTGTATCCATGCATCAGCAGGTCGCGCAAGGCGGACAGGTTATCCAAACACAAGGAGGACAATTGGTTGCTACCGGGTCAAATAATACAACGATAACAACAATGAGTCCACTGCAGCAAACTGGTCATACTCAACAGATGGCTGATTGGAGTCATGGACGCGTCCAGGTTATTCAGCAACCAATTCAGAATCAGACCTTCATGCCGCAGATCTACAACGCGCAGGGGCAGCCCCTAATCATGCCTGGGAATATCTCCTTGCATCCTAGTATCAATCCGCAGCAGATACAAGTTATTACTAAGCCTTTTCAAGGACAACCGCTTGGGCAACATATGATTACCACCGCGCAGGGCAAGCAGGTGATTCAAGCCAGTCAGGCGGCTACGTTTCCTTATACGATTCCCACGACGCAGAATCAGCAGACTTTGGTGTTTAGTCAGCTTGCGATTGGGTCCCAGCCGAATATCATTCATAACACTACCGCTGGTAATGGAAACGGGGTTAATCAACAGAAGACTTCGGAGATGCACAAGGTACAGATGCAGGGACAAAAGGTTCAGATGCAGAAGGTTACTGGTAATGTGCAGACTGTTGCGACGGGGCAACAACAGCAAGGACAATGCGTTCAGGTATCACAGGCGATGATTGGGTCACAGCCTACTGCGCAGATCATCAGTCAGATTCAACCGAATGGTCAACAAATGCAATTTGCTGCTGCACCTTGGCAGTTTGCTTCGAATGGGATTCCACAAGTGTGGACCACGAATGGATTGCAATCTGCTGGGTTAATCGCGCAGAATCCGATATTTATCAGAGGTACAAATCCTGATGGTACTCCTGGGATGTTTATCCAGCAGAGTGCGCAGCCTGCCACGATACAAACCCAACAAAATCGTGAGTTTTATTGGTTAAATTATGTTTTTCATTGGTTTTTAATGTTTTTGTTTGTTTTTAACAGCTACTGCAGCAGCAACCATTACAACACAAGGTATCCAACAATTGGGTAAACCCCGTCCAGCTGCGGATAATATCCAACCGAAACAAACGCCCACGCGGCCGTTGAATATCCTCCCATCGAATCCGCAAGCCATCCGTCCGGCTAGTTCTGTATCCACGCAGACAATCGGTGCTCAGACGCAAGTCCTAGGTGCCAAGATAGCAACTAAAGTCAGAGCGAAAGCTCCTGGTATCCGCACATCACCAGCGCCCAAAGCTGATGCTGCTAATCAAACGCAAGCTAAGCAATATAATCAAGCGCTGCAGCATAATGTTGTCAACAATAAGTAAGTCGAGTTCTTTAATATCTTCTACATTCACATGCATGGGAATAATCACTGCTTTGTAATCTCTGTGTGGATGCAAACAGTGGTCACTTTGTTTGACACACATTCCCGATATTAAACGCTAGATCTCTGAGCGAATGCGTGAAGTTATTAGTTATTCGCTTCGTTCTCTCTGCGACAGTTTTCTCACCAAGTTAATTGCGAAGTGTTGAGTTTTATGTGCATAAAGTTTTATCAGATTTGTCTCTTTTGTGTGCACAGGATGCTCGTAATGAACACCTCCACCGGAGGCATAACCATGGCCCCCGGTTCACCAATGACCGCCGAAAAGGCGCAGCAGTTGGTAAACAATCAAAAGCAAGTGCAGCAAGGTCAGCAGCAGCAAACGCAACAAGTTATTATGCAGCATCAGGCTATCCAGCAGCAAGCCATGCAACAAATGCAGTTCCAAGCTGGACAACAGCAACACATCCAACCTAAGATGATGAGTAAGTGTTGTATATTTTAATTCATATGTTTTGTGTATTAATAAATCGATTTTTATGTTAATTTAGCGATGCAAGCTATTCAGCAGCCGATGCAAGTCCAAGGTGACAGACCAATAATGCCCGTGGTGTCTATGAGTGCCCAATCCACCGCACAAGTACAGCAAACCATGCAATCAATGCAACAGTTGCAGGGTACCATCCATCCATTACAGTCCAACCTAGCTGTGACACAACAACCGATGCAAATGAACATTCAGCAGTTACATCAAGTGAGTATATTTCGATGACTCATGTGTAGTGCGTTGTGTGGGGTTTTTACTAATAATCACGTGATCATTCATAGCAGTTGCCGCAAATGACGCCGCAAGGCACGATCATTGGTCTGCACACTACGCAGCAGGGTAACGTCGTCAACCAAGTCACCGGCACGCCGCAGATTCAACAATTGGCACAACCTGGCCAGCAGACTATTACAATTGCTGCGGCTGCGCCACAGCCACAACAAATCCCGTTGCCGGCGAGTGTTCCTCAAGTCAAGACTGAAACTGGTGTCGAAGCTATTTCTGCTGATAGCAGTGCGGAAGCACCCAAAGAGAATGGTGTCGCTGAAAAGCCCGAGCCGCTTTCAGCCGAGGTGAAACCATTGATTAATGGTGTTGAAGTGAATCCAACGGCGGCGATTCCTCCAACACCAATGCCTGGCATTGTTCCCTCGGTGCCGGTTTCTTCTACCAACGAAAACGGTCTTCCTATTGCAGCGACAGCTGAAGAGGTGAAGGAACGTTGTCCGCCGAAAGCCATGGTTAAACCACAGGTGCTCACGCATGTTATCGAAGATTTTGTTATTCAGGAATCTTCGGAACCTTTCCCGATCACGCGGAGTTCGTTGATGGGTGATTATAAACACAGTTCTTCAGATAAAGATCATTCTGATGAGCCGCTCAAGAAGAAACATGCTGGTGAAGAAGTGGAGTCCGCAAGAGGTGGCGAGTTTGCAAAATGTGAGAATTGTGGTACTGTTGATCTCAAAGCTAAGTTCAAGAAGAACAAGCGGTTTTGTTCGATGGCGTGTTCGAAGAGCGCGAAGAATAAGGAAGGTAAACGGAAGTGGGATAAAGATGAGTCCATGGAAGTGGATGTGGATTCTGCTGCGTCCGGGGCGGAAAGCTCCCTTAGTCCGACAGGATCTTCACAGGTGCATGCGGAGGATAATACGCCAAAGATTGATCCACTTAAATGGAGTGTAAGTTCATTTTTATGAAGTTTTTGGTGTAAATATTAACTTATTCGTGTGTACAGGTTCAGGAAGTTTATGACTTCATTAGAAACCTGCCTGGATGTTCAGACTACGCTGAAGACTTCCAAATTCAAGAAATCGACGGCCAAGCGCTCATGTTGCTCAAAGCCGATCATCTGATGACTGCAATGAACATGAAGCTCGGCCCCGCGCTGAAAATCGTCGCGAAAATCGACGATATGCGGATAGACAAAGAACCGCCCAAACAGGCTTAAGTTTCCTTGGGGTAATTCCTCAACTTATTAACTATTCTCAACTTTAAATCGTTTGAAGTAAACAATCTCGATTCGGTGATGTGATATAAAACTAAATTTAAACAGCAAAAAGTGCTAAAAATTGACAAATTCTATAACGCTATTATTTAAATTTAAAGTATCGACAACTTAAGAAATTTATACTAAAACTTAACTTTAAAGATGCTGCGCGCTGTGTACATATTGTAGATAAATCGACGAACTATTTAATTTTACTTATTTAATGAAATGTAGCTTTTGATATGTAGGTATGTACCTTAAATGCAAGACTATGATTAATTTAATCAATTAACATTTTGTGTGTGAAAGGCTGACACTTTGACTACTGAAACGTTTTTTGTTTGGGGAACATGCATTGTGTGCTCTGATGGCCAGCACTGTGTTCTAAGTGTAAATACTAACTTAATATTTGTACATTTTTATATGGTCCAGAAGTTTTCATTTTCTTTGTGGATATTTGGGTTGCAGACGTTGCAAGTGTAGAAGTGTAGAACATCAAATCAAAATCATACTCATGTTATTTGTTGTTTCAGTTTCACACACTTTAGCAAGGTATTAATGTGCAATTTGCTAAATTATTGAATTGAATCATAGAGATAAGTTATTTCATTCATTGTTTTCGATGCATTTAAAGCTCTATGCATAATATTCGGATTATATGAAATAATATAACTGCCACTAATGTAATTTACTATATATTGACGAATAATATCATACGATTTATATGAAAATTATGTAAATATCTTAGTCACTCACCACAAGTTATTATAAGAGGTGCTGTCACTGCTTCTGCTCGTCAAGTTGCGAGGGAAATGAGAAAAATTCGTTACAAATTAACGGTTTTTAAATTTTTTTCAATGCGCATGCGCAAGAAGTGAAGTTCATTGATGCGTCCGCTTAGGCCACGCTTAGGCGCTGTTGTATTTCAAGCGCAAAAATGACAGTTTGCAGAAACAACGTGTATTTCTTCATCTCCAGAGTTAAATTTTAATTATATGTGCAATCGATTTGAGAATACCATCCAGAGTTTCAGCTACAGAGACATCACTGTTGACCATCTGAATGGCTGGTTCCTCCATGTACTGGTATGCCAATAACACACTAAAAACAATATTTTCATTATAGATTTAACTGCTGATGAAACATGTGGTGTGGAAATGAATTCGGATGAAATTACACCAATAATTGTGCAGAGATTTGGTTGATAACTAGTTTGCATAACAAGTTATAGTCTAGCAGCTGGCAATTTGTATAATTGGCACTAAATCAACTTTAATTGGTCTACAAACCAGGCTTTCATCATTGACACTCCAGTATTTAGCCAAATTGCCAATAAAAACTTAATCAGAGAACCAAATTTCATCACAATCACATAAATATGCTCAAAAACTAACTTTTGTCTGAAAGAGTGGATTTCTTTCAACATCATCTCCTCTTTGGTGACCTCTTTACGCCGTGCTTGCCGGCGTTGGCGTTCATGTTCACTCACAGACAGGAACAAAACAACATCAGGTTGGATCAAATCCGCTGGCCAGCGATACACCGGATTTCCTCGCGCTGGTAAATCATAACCGCCTGGTTTTGCTTGCACATTACGTGCTAACGCATTTGCTGCTGTAGAATTCCAAAATCTATCGAGAACCACCGGTTGCGTCTCGAGAGTTTTCGCGATTTCAAACGCAGCTATGTAATTCCCTAGTGCGTAAAACGCAGTTTTCAAATCTGCGCTGTCATCAAACGCAGCGCGCAATTCAGAAGAGATACAAGATGGCGGACTTTTTAAATTCACCGCGTTTATCTTCTTCGCTAATAATCGCGATAATGTTGATTTACCTACAAATTTTATACACATAGTAACAAATATTTCAAAATAATCAATATAGGTATTATCTATAACCTGATAAATCAAGACCTTCAAGGACAATCAGCGGATGATTTTTCGCGACTGGTTTAGCATTGCTTTCAGCGTCTGCGTAGATTTTTAAAAGCTTAGACACATTGTCATCTGCTTTATACTAAAAATATGGTAAAGTATAAGTTAATATAGTGTTTTGTTAAAAGATAACTCACTTTTTCATCTTGAAACACTTCCAGAACAGACTTTAAAGTCGGATACATTACGTGACTCGTCATTGTTTCTAGGTTATACATCTGTTTGAATGTGAAACATCGGTAAAGTACAAGCGACGGGGAACGCGCAACTTTTGATAAGTGGGGAAGCACAAAACGAGCACAAACGAGTAGTGGTGACGCAATCCATCTGATTATCATTTTAAACTGCAAATAGTACAGGAATCTACTAATTCAAGCAATGAAAATCGTTTCAGTGACATAAAACTACTGAAATTTATTCGACTTTACTGTCAGACATCAAAACATCAAAAGTCAATCAAAAAACAAAAGTTGTTTCACATTCACAACGTTATAACACAATTATTGATTATAATTAAATCATTATTATAATAAGCACCGTAATTAATGTAATTATTCATCTGCTTAGTGCGTCATTGCATTAACCGTATTATTTTAGTATTACTCTTTTGGAAAAAGCACATCAAACGAGAACAGATCATAAAAATCATTGATGATTTTCAAAGAAATCCCTCTGATGGTCTCCAAAACAACAGGTTTGATTTCATCATATAGTAAATCAATGTTTGAGTTGATAGATTCGTTGATATTATTGTTTAAATCCGTGGCGTTTTGAAACAAGTTGTTGAAATTAATCTTCATGGTTTTGAGCTGTAAATCGGTAATATCCGCGGTGAATTTGAGATGCTCCTTGTTGTTTTTCATGAAACGCGTTGAATTCCACACTGTTCTCACGCTCATCCCGGCTGTAAATTAATTAGTTTATTAGTTATCACTAAATTTAAGTGTTGTAAGGTAAAACTTACTAAATTCGCCATGAAAATCGCCATCTCCATCGATTCCAAGCAGTAAAAACTTTCCTTTGGCTTTGTAGTTCGACTTAAGCGTGATTTCCGGGAAGAATAAGTCAAAATACAGTTGGATACCGTTGTCTGTCATGTATGTTAAGCATTCGAGAGCTTTTCCTTTACTCAAACCACCGACACTTACATCGTGAAGCTCGGCATCTAAGCGAACACTTTTTGTTTCTGGTAATTTCATGATAATATGCTGAACAATGATAGGATCTATAGGAATAGCGTTCATTTCCGGTATGCCATCTTTAAGTCGTGGTATCATGTGGTTGAAATTCGTGCAGTAACATTTTGTTAGCTCAGGATCATTTCTTTTGCAAATATTTATTTCTTTTACTGTAAAAATCATAAATTTAGGAAGAATTAATAAAATTCAGGGTAAAAACTTACTTATTTTCTTTTTAACTGCATTTGTTTCATAAAATATTAAAAGTAAAACACTGCAAAACACTAAAATTCTCATATTTTGTTTAAAATATGTTTTTGATGAAAATTTCAATGTTTATGAACGATGAGTCTGGATGCAACTGAACGGCGCAATATAATTTAGGTATATTTAAACACCACCTCCCCGTTTGCAAGATATCGGTGCATATAATAAACACTTATCGAATAACTCGTTTGCGTTTGCTTAAAAAGTAAACACGTGCCCGGTGTTCGCCATGCATCTCGCCGCCGTTTTAATTAATGCTTATTATTTCACAATTTCGTTGCACTGCACCGCCAGTGGTGCTGCTTCATTTTGTTTTCATCGTATTTTACGATGCAATAAACGATCAGCGATTATATGTCATAAATATCAGTTTATTTTCACTTTTTCTGTATACAAATTAACATCTTGTATTTTTTACTTTTTTTTAAACGTTTTTAACTTTTTGGAAAGAGTACATCAAGTGGGAATAAGTCATAAACATGGTTTACAATGTTTGTTGCTACTGAATTGATTGTTTCTTTGATTACTGGGCTGATTTCGTCATATAAAGAGTCTATGTTTTCATTAATGACTTTATTGGTGTTATCGGTGAGCTCAGTTTGATTGCCGAAGAGATTGTTGAATTGTATGCTTAGTTTTTTGATTGTTAGCTGTTCTATGTTGCATTGCCAGGAGAGATGGTCACGGTCTTTCTTTTTGTAGAGTTTAGAGGTCCATTTTGTTTTTACGTGAAGATCCCCTGGAAATTTTTGTTAAAATTTAGTATTTTTTGGTGTTTTTTTGAAGTTTTTTATGATTCTAACCTAATTTAAAGCTTCATTTAACCTGCTTTGGTATTACTACAACTTTTACTTAATAGAGGGCAGTGTAGGCTTTGCCAGCATAAAGAAATAATCCCCTTTTCTTTATTTATTTGATAGATATATCAGTTTTTATTTAAAAATTTAAAAATACTCAAAATACTTACTGAAATCTCCTGTATAATTTCCCACTGCATCAATATTCAGAACAAGAAACTTCCCAACAGCAGTATAATCACTAACCATTGTAATACTGGGAATAATTAAGTCGATGTTCATTGTTAAAGTATCCCCAATTGATTGTACTGTAATATCATCAACAATCGTACTTCCTAAGCCCCAGACTTTCATGTCTTTTAAATCTGCTGTTAATTTGACTGACTGCGATTGCGGGAAGTCCATGCGCACCTTTTCAACGTGCACAGGTTCTATTGGAACAATGTTCATTTCCGGTATTCCTGATTTCATCAGTGGTAGCATTTTTTTGAAGTTTTCCTTAAAGCACGCGGATAAATTCGGGTCGTTACGGAGGCAAATGTTTACCGTCGGATCTAAAGTAGTAAAAAAATATGTTTAGCAAACTTGAATTAACTATTGAGATGCGGTATAAGTGTTTATTGTCTAGTTAACGTTGTTAAAACAACGTAATTTGAAATAATCACTTAATTGTTTCTTTAAATCTCGTAAAATTTGTTGAAAAAACTTACGTATCATTTTTTTAGCAGTTATTACAACTGTTATTGTTGTTAAAAGTAATATTAAAGAAACAAATAGCTTCATTTTGAATAATTTTTGTTTACTGAATTTATAACTATTTAAATATAAAAATATTATGTAACACTTTGGTTTGCTTGGTAAAGACTGAGGAATTGGCAGGTTTTCGAGGCATTTATTGCTCTGACTGGTGTAACTGGATAATTTACTCCTTCTTTTCCTTCCTTTAGCTCTTTCGACTTCAATAATTCAAGAACGAATCACGAACCACTTTGCAAAAAAACCTGTCCCAATCTCATTAAGTCCAGCGAACAGTAAATTATTGAGATGAAACTTGCGGAGAAAAACCTTTGAACTTTAAATTTATTTTTATCATTCAAAATTGAGAATAATTTACAGGCTACCAACGAAATACATCTACTCGTATATATTTTTTTTCATTATGACGTGCAAAGTTAGTGTTTAAAATTCGACAAGGTCATGGATTGAGAGTTTGTGATACAAAAAAAAAATCATATGCGCAATTCACACGCGGTAGAAGTGAAACCAGAACACTGCACTTTGAGAGAATCAGACGAAAATAGTATCAGGAGTGAGATAATTATAGGGTTTATTTATTAAAATATTGGAATGAAGTGTAAAAGCTATTTAATATTTTTCTGTCGATATTCACGACACTTATCGGCATTAGTTTTTGGCATACTTGAAGATCGTTATTATAGTACTAGCGGACCCAACAGACTTCGTTCTGTCTCTTTTAGTTTACGAGATATTCGCAATTGCAAAAAAATGGACAAAAATTGATAAATGTCACTATAATATAATTATTTTATATTTTTATCTGATAGAGAATTTTCCAATCTTTCAGAATCAGCAATTTGTTGGTTGCTATCGCGTTTAGTTTAAGAGATATTAATTATTGAAAATCGTCGAAAAAAAGTATCAAGCACCCCCCCTTGGCAATTTTTTCTTAAGAATTAAAATTTCATCTCTCGGATTTACGTTTTAACCATCCTATCTGATAGAGAATAGTTCGTAGATTAAGACGCTGCGATCGGATCTTAATTATCTCTTTTAGTTTACGAGATATACGCGATTGAAACAAATGGCCAAAAGTTGAAAAATGTCACTTTTTAGCACTTTTAGTCACGTTTTTCACCCTTTTATTGTAGGAAATATAGTTATTTTATATTTTTATCTGAAAGAGAATTTTCCAATCTTTCAGAATCAGCAATTTGTTGGTTGCTATCGCTTTTAGTTTAAGAGATATTAATTATTGAAAATCGTCGAAAAAAAGTATCAAGCACCCCCCCTTGGCAATTTTTTCTTAAGAATTAAAATTTCATCTCTCGGATTTACGTTTTAACCATCCTATCTGATAGAGAATAGTTCGTAGATTAAGACGCTGCGATCGGATCTTAATTATCTCTTTTAGTTTACGAGATATACGCGATTGAAACAAATGGCCAAAAGTTGAAAAATGTCACTTTTTAGCACTTTTAGTCACGTTTTTCACCCTTTTATTGTACAAAATATAGTTATTTTATATTTTTATCTGAAAGAGAATTTTCCAATCTTTCAGAATCAGCAATTTGTTGGTTGCTATCGCGTTTAGTTTAAGAGATATTAATTATTGAAAATCGTCGAAAAAAAGTATCAAGCACCCCCCCTTGGCAATTTTTTCTTAAGAATTAAAATTTCATCTCTCGGATTTACGTTTTAACCATCCTATCTGATAGAGAATAGTTCGTAGATTAAGACGCTGCGATCGGATCTTAATTAGGTATCTCTTTTAGTTTACGAGATATACGCGATTGAAACAAATGGCCAAAAGTTGAAAAATGTCACTTTTTAGCACTTTTAGTCACGTTTTTCACCCTTTTATTGTACAAAATATAGTTATTTTATATTTTTATCTGAAAGAGAATTTTCCAATCTTTCAGAATCAGCAATTTGTTGGTTGCTATCGCGTTTAGTTTAAGAGATATTAATTATTGAAAATCGTCGAAAAAAAGTATCAAGCACCCCCCCTTGGCAATTTTTTCTTAAGAATTAAAATTTCATCTCTCGGATTTACGTTTTAACTATCCTATCTGATAGAGAATAGTTCGTAGATTAAGACGCTGCGATCGGATCTTAATTATCTCTTTTAGTTTACGAGATATACGCGATTGAAAAAAATGGCCAAAAATTGAAAAATGTCACTTTTTAGCACTTTTAGTCACGTTTTTCAACCTTTTATTGTAGGAAATATAGTTATTTTATATTTTTATCTGAAAGAGAATTTTCCAATCTTTCAGAATCAGCAATTTGTTGGTTGCTATCGCTTTTAGTTTAAGAGATATTAATTATTGAAAATCGTCGAAAAAAAGTATCAAGCACCCCCCCTTGGCAATTTTTTCTTAAGAATTAAAATTTCATCTCTCGGATTTACGTTTTAACTATCCTATCTGATAGAGAATAGTTCGTAGATTAAGACGCTGCGATCGGATCTTAATTATCTCTTTTAGTTTACGAGATATACGCGATTGAAAAAAATGGCAAAAAATTGAAAAATGTCACTTTTTAGCACTTTTAGTCACGTTTTTCACCCTTTTATTGTAGGAAATATAGTTATTTTATATTTTTATCTGAAAGAGAATTTTCCAATCTTTCAGAATCAGCAATTTGTTGGTTGCTATCGCTTTTAGTTTAAGAGATATTAATTATTGAAAATTGTCGAAAAAAAGTATCAAGCACCCCCCCTTGGCAATTTTTTCTTAAGAATTAAAATTTCATCTCTCGGATCTACGTTTTAACTATCCTATCTGATAGAGAATAGTTCGTAGATTAAGACGCTGCAATCGGATCTTAATTATCTCTTTTAGTTTACGAGATATTCGCGATTGAATAAAATGGTCAAAAATTGAAAAATGTCACTTTTTAGCACTTTTTGTCGCATTTTGCGATCTTTTACTCTGTGAAATTAAATAATTTGGAACTCTTAACTAATAGGGAATTTTCCAATCGTTCATAATCTGCTATTTGTTGGATTCTAGCGCTTTTAGTTTAGAAGATATTTTCTATTCATTATCATTGAAAAAAATTATCAGTGATCAAAAAATTAAATTAATGTTGATAGTTTTGCGTAGTATATGACGACATTTAATCTTGACCACAAATTTGCGCAACTTAATCAGTAGGATTCATTACCTGGCCAAAAAATATAATTAAAACCATTAAATTCATAGTCCGTGCGCAATTTAATTGCAAATTAATTTTTTTACACGCAGAAACCAAATCAGTAGTTTGTTCATAAATTTTGAGGTGACAATCAACTAAAGTTGTTGATTTTGGTTTAATTCCAAGAAATATTACATTTTTTTAGCCAAAATTTTATTATTTAATTAATAAGCGTACATATATCATGAACAGAACGATTAAACTAAGTTTTTTAATCATTTAACTGCAACTAAGCATTAATTAAGTAATTGGTAATGTAATTAAGTAGAAAAAAAGGTTAAGTGTATAAAAGTACACATAGTACTAATTAGTAATTGTCATTGTATGCCAGGCACATTTTGAAAGACACCCGAATTAGTCCAGAACTCCATCCGACTGCGACGATAATCATTTCGCAGGACTAAATTATCAGGGCCTCTGATATCCAGATAATGCAAATCTTTATTTGTTGCTTGGGGGTCACAAATGTTTGGTAATGGCTGCCACTGTTGATGTGGTTTTCTAAACATAAAAACATACAAAAAAATAAATAAAAAATTACAATAAATAAATCGATCAAATTAAATGATTAATTAATTAATGATTATTTTATGGTTTTATGACGTTACTAACCCGGTAATGGCAAAATTGGTCCATAAAGTAATCATAATCTTGCTCAGTTGTAATTCGGTTGGCGTCATCTTGTATTCCGGGAATAATTCCGGCGAATTAAATAAGTACAGAAGTTCGTCACAGTGTGAAACACCTAAATAAATAAAAAAATAATTAAAAACAATAAAAATATTAATAACGTTAATTAACGTTAGTAACGTTAAAACGAGACTGCACTGTGCTTTAAATCTGAGTGTTGTTAAAAATTCTTACCGAAATTATAATCTAACGTGTCTTCTGTGTCACGAACAAATACTGAATTGGCAAAACTGACACTTCCGGTGAAATTAAAATTGTAAAACCAAATATTGTTGTGGTTTTGCATCGAATGCAACAGAGCAGCTTGATAAATACCGTAACTAAACCATCTATCACCATACATCTATAAATTTGAATTATTTGAGGTTAAATTCAACAACAAAAAGTTTAACACTGAAATTTTTGAGGTTAAATTCAATTTTTTTACTTTATACTTACATTTGTAAATCCCTCGATGCTATGTTCATCCTCAAAGTCAAAGATTTCCGAATTCAAATAAAATTGTTTCATTTTCATCCAAAATGCTTGAATTTGATCCGGTAGCACACTGGCATCCAACAACATATCTTTCAAACCCAATTCGTCAAACCGTGCGGTGTATTCTTCACGAATGTTTTTGGAAATGAAATTAGGACCTGCTTTGAGCGCACCTTCATTTTCAACTGTGCCTAGAATCCATGGTACCTTTTGAAAATCGCCACTCATGATAATTTCAGCGGGATCACGTTCCAAGAACGGTTCCGGGTTCTTTTCGGTACGGGTTTCGGTTACGTATGTGTAGATAACCAATGGATCACGATAAAAATGCTAAAAATTATGCTTTAAAAATTACTTTTTCTATTTTGAGGAGTTTTGAGTTTAAAAACTTACTTTTAAATGAATATCTGAGTTTAATAATACTTTAGCGTCGATTTCACGCATGCATTGCACCAAGGATGTTGTATTTGAAGGATCACATCCTAGAATTTGTCCTGTTGCTGGATAGATTAATTTTTGAAGCATGTTTAGTGGTTTTGCCCAGAGGCACATCGCAGTTCCACTTTCACTGATCACTCGCTGGAAAAGTCCTTTTCCTGATGGACTTAACATTAAGTGATGTGTTGCTCCTGCGCCTGCGCTTTGGCCAAAAATGGTAACTTGGTTTTTATCGCCTCCAAAGTGTTCGATGTTAGCTTGTACCCATTTTAATGCGAGGACTTGATCTTTTGCTGCGTAATTACCAGGGGAATCATCGTTTAAAGTACTGAAGAATCCTAAAAATTAATTTAAAAAAATTAAAAATTAATTTTTGATATAATTTTGTTATTTTACCGAAAATTCCTAATCGGTAATTAAAAGAAACCATAAGCACTTGTCTATCCATGAAAAATTCAGGTCCTGAACGTTCTGGTTGTGATGTCCCCGCAAAATTTCCTCCATAATGAATAAAAACCATAACCGGAAGTAATTTGTCTTTCTTTTTACTTTCCAAAGCAGTCTAAAGGCAAAAAAAATCAAAATTTAAACGTTTTTAACTAAATTTATAAAAAAATCAAATATTTACTTTTGGTGTGAATACATTTATAAACAAACAGTCCTCGACGCCTTCAACTTCCGGTTTGGTGTATGACAGATAATCTTTCTGTATACATTTCGGTACTTTTTGGGTGGCATCATAAACACCCGTCCAACCCTCGGCAGGCTCCGGTGACTATAATAAAATATCCCAAAATAAAATATTTATTTAAGGCATGTAATTAAACGAACTTTATTTTTTCGATTTTTAACTTGTCAATTCATTAAATGCACTTATAATTAATGTTTGCACTTAAAAATACAGAACTGAACTTAAAAATAAATATTTGCACTTTGAAAAATGAATTCCACTTGAATAAAATGCTTTCCACTATGAAATTAATACTTTGCACTTATAAAACTTGTAGTATTAAGTACGTGCCGTACTCTTAGCCGGCCCCTTCTATCACACCCCCACCGCCTCTCAAATAATACCAAACAAGGTAGCCTACCTAACCACCACCCCCAACCCCCAACCGCCAACCACCTCCTCCCCCCAACCCCCAACCACCCCACAAATAATACCAAACAAGGGAGCCTACCTAACCACCACCCCCAACCCCCCGACCGCCCCACAAATAATACCAAACAAGGTAGCTTACCTTACCACCACTCCCCAACTCCCCGACCACCCCCTCACCACTACCCCCGACTGCCCCACAAATAATACCAAACAAGGGAGCCTACCTAACCACCACCCCCGACCCCCACAAATAATACCAAACAAGGTAGCCTACCTAACCACCACCCCCAACCCCCCGACCGCCCCACAAATAATACCAAACAAGGTAGCTTACCTTACCACCACTCCCCAACTCCCCGACCACCCCCTCACCACTACCCCCGACTGCCCCACAAATAATACCAAACAAGGTAGCCTACCTAACCACCACCCCCAACCCCCGACCACCCCAACCCCCCGACCGCCCCACAAATAATACCAAACAAGGTACCCTACCTAACCACCACAAATTATAAAGTTTCAATTTAAAAAGTTGATTTAAAGCAAATTTAAGCTTAAACCTGAATATATATGTGCATTGTATTAAAATATAAGTTATACAATCTATAGTGCATAATATGAATTTCTTAGTGCAAAGTATGAAAACTTAAGTGCGGCTGTTCAAGTGGATTGTATTTTAACTAAAGTGCATTTAATATATCCCCTTTATTTAATATAAATATTATCGTAAACTATAGGCAACCAAACATACACCAAACATAATAATAAACGCGCAACCTTAAATCGCAGATCGCCCACAGGTGGTTTCGCAAACGGGATTTTCGTGAAACTAGCAAACTGCTTTCCAGCTCTTGACATCTTATACTGTCCACGTAATGTTCCTTGATCGATTGTAACCTGTGGATTTGTTTCAGTGTCCGCCATTGTGACGAAAACCAAACAAATCGCGAGGAATAGCATGACAGGTATGCATTTATGAATCATTCTGGAATATAAACGTTATAGTTTTTAAAACTGTGGACGAAAACAAGTTTTGTATGTGATTTATATTTTGACATGATTATTTTAATGTGCGGCAATTAAATATTCGTTAAATTGACGCGCTAATTATGTGAAATTTAAATTCCAAGCGCGGCACGTGTTATTACTTGATTGTGCGGATTAGGTTCCGAGTGTAATGGACACCGAAATCTTGTTTACGTGAGAATTTCATCAAAATCATGCGTGGATACAACATGAGTGGATTTACGTGTGGCAAACAAAACAATAAAATAAAATTTTTAATTTTTTGATTAAAATTTTAGGTTTTTTCGCTCCCTAGGAACAAAAATTCAAATTCTTTTATATTTTATACTTAATTAAGTACCAAAAAGTTATGTAAGTATGAAATTTTTTAATTTGTGTAATTTTTTCATCTTGATACTCGAAAAAATCATTGACCTTTATCAAATTAAATGTCAAAGCTGTTAAAAGCGGTAATTACAAATCACGCTGCATCGCTACACATCTCCAATTATGTATTTTTATCAAATCTCGTGCGTGAAAAGGCCAAAACGCACGGAAAAAAGTTTGCGGGTGCAAAGGTCAACACTTTCGTTCGTTATTATATTAATGGCTGCTGACGGCGCCGGCGTTGCGCGCATTTTGCATTCGACACACATACAGAAATAGACACATTATTATCTGACACGGTTTTCAAGTGCACGCTCCGTATCACTGCACATGATTATGATTACACATAAATAAATACATAAATAAATCAAGTCAAGAAATTGTAATTAAAAAGAAGAAAAAGTTGGATTTACGCACGAAAATCAATTTTGTTTGTGCAATTTACGATGTATCAATTTAAAATTCTATTGATTGGTGTGATTTATTGACATAGAATAACTCATCAAATTTGGCTGAAATGTACTCAATAATTTATTTATCAGCTATTATCTGCAATGAATTAAATATAAAAATAGCTTATTTGCATTTTATAGATAAAATTTTTGAAATTGTTTAGTAATTATTCAATTACGCAAAAACTAATTTACGGAAAATTATTATTTTTACATTAATAGATTACCAGTTAAATTCTACATTTACCTATGTTAAAATTATATTAATAGCATTATTGCACAAAAAGTTATAAACAAATAAAATTATATTTATGTGTAAATTTTTATTTTCATCATAAATTGTCTGATAACTTTTGATAAAACACTGATAATATCAAAATTTTTACCTTGATAGATTCAGAATTTAATACTCCATAGATTAGCGAAACAATTGTTGTTATAAGTTTATTAGTTTTCGAGTAATTAATTAATAACTATAACTTTTCATTTGTAACACCAACACAGTCACCGCAAGTTAGCAAAGTCTAAAATTATATAATAAACTAATGTAAATGATAATTACAGAGTAAATAATTCTAAAGTCAACTAAACACTAAACGTGTTAATGATTCTGCTAAACGCTACACGTGTTTCTATTCAAAATTATTCACACAACAACTTTTTGTACTTATTCTTAACTTTTATAACTTGTTTAACTACCAAATAATTCAACAACGAACTAAAAATAAGTAATTATGTGTTGGGCACTTACTTGATGTTATTTTATTTTATTTTAACGTTGGATTAAAATTCACATTTGCGCACAATTTGATTTTTAAACACGAAATCCACGAATTTTGATGGTAATATTTTATTCAGTTGTGTTGCACACATTTGCTGCACACTTTTTTTGGTGTACTCGTATATTGAAATCGGCAGGAGGTAATTCGCGTGTACGATCGCGGGCAAACTGCACAACTGAACCAAACCGAACAATCTCACACCCAGCGAATTTATACTGGTGGCGTGAATGACGAAATGATGCGAATCCGCGCGGAATCTGCGTTTGTTCGCATGGATTTTCACGCGATTTTGCATTTTCTTCCTCGTGGCGGGTACCTATTAGTTGTAATTCTTGATAACCGCATTCTATTTTGTTTTTGAAGCGAGTGTTTTGAAAATCTTTACAATGCAATATAGGTTTCATACAAACTAGATTTGTGCACACGTTTTTTTTTTTTAAATTTTGGCTAATTGTCTAAATAATGTGGGTGATTATTACTCTGAATGATGTTTTGGAAGTATTACAAGTAAAATCTTTCCCGATTTGTTGGAAAATTTTTGATAAATTTATAATACAAGTTTGCCTTTAAATCTACATATTAATTTATTCGTGATAAAGTCACCTAAAGCTCACTGTGCGGTGAGTAATACATAATTTAATTTCTTGTAATTATGTAACCTTTGAACTATTGTTGTAGTTATGCAACCCAACATCCCTACAAATTGCACTGCAAATATCTATAACTTAAGCACGATTGGTCAACTAATTTGTTGAGAGAGATTTAGAAAGAATTAAGGATTAAGGATTAATATATTCTTATTGTTTTGTGCTTTGATGTGGGTGGGTGGGACACATCGCCGCGAATTCGCGTTGTTTGTATAATTATTCGTAAATTTATTCATGCGGGTTGCGTTTTCCTTCTCATAACAATTTTTCTTCCTATCAGCATGCACGCGCCAATAATAAAAATGTGTCATAATTCGTAGAAATGTGCGCTCTATTTCCTAAATAATATTTGCTGATGAAATCACAGAATAAACAAGTATTGTTGGCGTTCGAGACGGTTGTCTGAAAAATCTATACAACGCAATATATTTTTCATGCAAACTAGACTTGTGCATTCTATGAGTTTGGCGACTGTCTGAAAAGCCGAATATTTTGTTTGGAAAAGACCGACATTTTGACTGAATATTTAATGTAGACGATTATTATTCTGAACAATGTTTGAAAATCATTGCAGGTAAAATCTTTTTCGATTAATCGGTAAATATTTGATAATTTTTTAATACAATCTAATTCTATGAAAAATCACATTGAAATATGCAGTGTTTTTTTCATGGGTAAATATATCTTAATGTTTTGTTTTTTTGATTAAAATTGCACAAATTCAATTATTAACCAATTTTTATACAATTACTAGCTGTTGCCCGCGACTTCGTTCCGGCAGTGTTTAATAAAAATGTAATTCGTTTTTACTCTCTTGTTCTAGACATACTCGTAGCAAGAGTCAATTCTATCAATAAGATTAGCAATTTTAATTTAAAGAAATTAATTATATAAAGTTTTGTCAATAATGCACTTCAGCGCGCCATCTCGAATTCAACTATTTAACTATAACTATGATTGAATCTCAATGTCAAATCTTATTCTATAGAAAAGAGCTGTTTTGAGGATTTTCCCGGCAGTTATTCGAATTTTTCTCACCTTTTAAACCCTCCCTAGACCTCCACGAATAATTCAAGACCAAGATAAGATAAATCCGTTCAGCCGTTCTCGAGTTTTAGCGAGACTAACGAACAGCAATTCATTTATATATATATATATATAGATGACACGAAGCGCTCCGAAACCTAAATTAAAATATGGTTGCCTTGTGAAATCTGCATGTAATTAATCAACAGCCCCGGAAGAAATGTTCTTTTCTCAAGTTCAGATTAAACTGCTAGTAGTGTTACTACTTCTTCTAGTTTCCTAAATTGTTACAAAAAAAATGTCAAACACTGAGACGACCAGAACTGGTTTAGTTTAATTTTAATCACCACGAAATTGGCTTGCGGTGTTCTTGTACTTGGTCCTTGTGCTGTGCTCGGTAAACTTTCAAAAGACAACATGACTCGTTTTTCCATGGTCGCCGAATCAAGCAATGAATGAGGGTCGTGGTCATATACATATTATACTCGCTCGTGTCACTTTTTACTTTTATGTAACACGCGCGAATTTTTGGATGTTGCGTAATTTAAATTATGCAAGATGCAATGCAGAACAAGAAAACCACATGAATCATTATGCAAATGTATAACAAAAGCCATGTTATTATTTATAATTATTATTTTATTTTGTGGACTAAAATGATTAATAATGTGGTATGTGAATTGAAAATTCCTTAACTTATTTGGAATTCATTAATTTCTTTTAAATGTATGACATTTGTGGTATTTTTAGCTGCTAATAGTTGTTTGGTTGTTTTTTTGTTTGTTTATGCACATCACCGATATAAATAATGGTTGTTAATTTTCGTCTAGACTAGACCAGAGCAACAACTCGATCACTCACTCGACTTGCAGCCGCGTGTGCACTTAATTGTTTTGTTCAACATAACATCGTTTGGCGTATTATATAAGAGGTCATTCAAATATTATGTAAACAAATTCATTTTTTAGTGCTGCATTTAAATATTTCGCATTGAAGAAGAAACGCAATAGCATTCATTAGAGCAATTGTTACAAAGTGTTTACTTAAATATCAAATCTCGAGAAATTTATTGATTCTATTATTTCTGGTTATAAACTCAATTAATAGTAAAAATGCTGGTAAATATTTCCTGAAGTATAAATATGAATTCCGCGTCGCTCAGTTGTATTCACTTGTGTTATATTTAAATGATTTTGTTGTAACGCAACGTGCACTTCAACAAATTAACTGAAAAATCGTGCTTAAGTTATAGAAATTTGCATTGCAGTTTGTAGGGATGTTGGGATCATAATTACAACAATATTTCAAATATTACCATCGATGTCATGTCTCTAAAAATATTCTAGATAATACTTGATAAAAATTAAAATATTGCTCATCGTTACACATTAATATAAAGATTTTACGATATCCCTATCTATCTACCTAGCAACAGTTTTATTATAACATAAGAAGACCTCTATCTTAAAATTTTGAGAATAAATGCAATTGGGGTTAACCAATTAACTACAAGTGTTAAACTGTGTGCTTAAAACTCTCAGAAATCCAATGCTATTTCCGGAATCAATAAATGATGCTATTTTAAAATTTAAGTAGACACTTGATTATATTATTTCGGCGCGTGGAGGATGTTCCTATTACTGACGCGCAAAATGTGTAGCTATCGGCAGTTTGAATTGATTGGAATGTGACGAGATTTGCGAGAATTCATCTCATGAGTACTCAGAAGTCAAAAAACAAATAAAGCGATAAAAATTGCATTATTGTAATTAAATTTCTCTTAAAATGTTGATGAAAATTAGAGATATATGAAGTGGGGGCATATTTGGGAACGATTTCTTAGTAAATCACGGCAAATATTATCGTGTGGTGTTACAATTTATGTTTAATATGCCTTTTTTTGTTTTAGTGACATTTTTCAGTGACATGTTGCTTATTACTCTAAGTTTTTAACACTTCTTCGTAACTGTGTACTGCAAGATCAAATTAAAAATAAATGGTAACATCACACGTTATAAAATGTAAATAAAAAAATAAATATTTTCTACTTCCATCATTAAAATGCTAGTTTTTCCACGGTGATTATATTAACTTAATTAAAGAGAGAAAAATAATACAAAGTAATATTTATGCCATAGTTTATGACTTAATAATATTATATTATAATAAAAAATTATGCCGCGATTTGCTTTTTCCACTCTGCGATTTCAACGTGTTCCCAGTTGCGATTGGTCAATGGATCAAAATATCTAAAAAATCATCAATCAAATATAATTTAAATTTCAAAATTAATATATAATAGATAATATTGGCCGTAAATATTAAATATCTTACACTTTCTTAATATCTGCTTGAACCTGTTTTTCTTTCGGTGTTAAACCATCTAGAAGGACATTTAAAGTAGACGTCAATAATTACGGAGTATTCATTCCGTTGAGAACAACATCTCCGTAATTTTCAAATGAAAATGCCAATGCTAATTTAGCAATATCAACGTCATTTTTCTAAAATTAATGAAATAGTCAACAAAAAAATGATTCATATTAATATTAGATTATTTTTTTACCTGGCAATATTCAATAGCTCCTTTAGCAGCAGCTCTGATTTCTGCATCAGCTGGATGCCAACTCTGTGGACCATTATTAGTGAATAATCCCATCGCCAACACAGCGCCATTCAAAATGCCCAAATTCTAAACAAAACAAAACAAAAAAGAGAATAAAATTTGTGTTTTATTTTTGATAAATTGAGGTTATATTCTAACCAAAAATTGAAATCTAACCTTAAAATTATCTTTATACTGAACATATGCTTGTTCATGAAGTGTCATTCGACCATAATTTAAAACCGTGTCGATTTCACCACATTTCCCAACAAATTCCGCTAATTTTGATAAAGTATATCCTGTAACACCAATAAACCTAGCTTTTCCTTGACGTTTGAATTCCATAAGCACCGGCCATGTTTCTTTGAGGAGGTAATCAATAGATGGGGCAAAATCCATATCATGAATCTTAAATAATTTAATAGAATTAAATAATATACCAATAATAATTACAATTTCATTTGTGTATTTACTTGTAAAACGTCGACGTAATCAAGTTTTAATCGTTTTAAACTCTCCTCGAAGCTTTGACGAGTTTTCTCTGCTGAGAAATCAAACATTTTCTTTGGATCCCTTTCATAACGACAGACTTTCGTTGCGATGTAGTATGCTTCACGTGGAACACCTTCTAGAGCCTGTGTATAAATAAAAAATGTATAAAGGGTTGCCTACTGTATAACTATTTAGACTTATATTACTTTGCCAATAGTTGTTTCTGAAACACCTTGTCCATACCATGGTGCCGTGTCAATATAATTAATGCCTGATTTTAGTGCTAATAAAAGCGTGTTTTTGGACTCTTCAAACGTGAAAGCACTGTATAAATAAGAAATTATGGTTTAAAAATTAGAATTTTACATTTTTTGTGATTATGTACCCAAAAAGATCCGAAAACACAGCACCACCCATACCCAAGCGAGAAACAGTCATTCCTGTTTGACCAAAAGTCTTATATTTCATTTTTTTAACGGCTTCTTCATCGTGGAATCCTTTTACAAACGTAGGTGGCAACATTTTGGCAAAAAACTGAAAATTTACATTGTTTTTTAATGTTTTTCTGTTCAATTTTCTAATTTAAACAGTGAAATAGCATTTCATTGCTTTAATAATAACAAAATTATGATTTTTTTCTTATTTTTTCGTTTTAGTCAATAAATGTCTTTAAAATAACGCTATACTTACAACTATGAAGCAGTTATAGAAACACTAAACAGCACTCAACGTTTATTAGCAAACAACTGCTCACTATTTGCGCTTAACTCGTATTTAAATACAAACTAATCAAGCTAATCTATTAATGGGCGTTTCGCATTTCATGAAGCTCATATCCGCGGTGTCAGCGATTGCTTCGTGCACCGATAGGGTCAGGGCTAGTGAGGAAGTGAGACACTTTAATGTTGATGCTAATGGAAAATGCCTAGAGTTATATTAGAGTACTCTTTATTAACAAGCAAGTCATGCAATCCACAACATTCCAAAAATACATTTTGATATTATTACATAATACATACGGTAATATTGTGCAATGTTATGTACTCACGGTCAAAGATCTGTCTGCGCCGTGACATTCCTGAAATAGATTTTTGCAATTGCAGTGTGCTTTAGCAAACACGCTCAGCGATGTAATATTATGAAGTTTAAAATAGTTTAAAAGGCTTAAATGCACCATTGTCGGGAGTCAAAACTAAAGTTACGTGGTTTTTCTATCATACCTCTTGGCAAATGCGGAAAATGGGGTGGGGGAAGGAGCCCGTGTCCGGGGAGCACGTGCGTGCAGCAGATCAACCAATGATTGCGCAGCGCGCCTACCCCCACCACTTTTTGCGGGTCGCCCACAGGTATAAAAGGACAGCGCGCACTGTGTTTTGCGCTCAGTCATGCCTGAGTCGTCCAGCAGTCCAGTAACCAGTCGCAGTTCTCTAGGTTCTTTTTCACACTAAGATTATAATAATAATAATAAAAAAACACTTAAAAATTATTTAATTTTCATTTTATTTCAAATACAGGCAGTTTATAATGGTTATAATAATATTCATATGAATTACACATAATTATTACTCTAAAAACTTCTTAAATGCATTAATTTCAACATTTTCCCAGTTTCTGATGGACAATGGATCAAAATACCTAAAAATTCATTCATATTAATATTAACAATAAATAATATTTAAAAATATCATACATTTTCTTAATGTCTGCTTGAATCTGTAACTCTTTGGGTGTCAAACCTTCTTGAAGCACCTTCAAACTAGACTTCAATAATTCCGGGTTGTTCATACCGTTGAGAACGGTATCTCCATAGTTATCGAATGCGAATGACAAAGCTAATTTGGAAATATCCACATCATTTTTCTACAAAAAAAAATAATAACAAAACGCAAAGAAATAAGTAAAACATTGTTATTTCAAGATATTTATAAATTGTTATTACTTGACAGTAATCAGCAGCTCCTTTACAAGCTTCTTTTATGCACTGATGAGCTGGATGCCAACTTTGTGGACCACTGGAAGTTAATAATCCCATTCCCAACACAGCAGCATTGACAACTGCCACGTTCTTAAACAAAAACACAAAATTTATGTTAATAGATATAAATTAAGGTTATATTTATACAAAATAACCATAAAATCATCCTGGAATGTATGCAACTCTTGCTCGAAGAGTGTCAACCGAGAATAGCTCAAAATCATATCAATTTCTGGGCATTTACGAACAAATTCTGCTAATGTGGATACTGGATATCCTGTAACCCCGATTAATTTAACTTTTCCTGCTTTTTTCGCTTCTAGGAGCACTGGTAGTGTTTCATTGATGAGGTAATCAATTGATGGCGCAAATTCAATGTCGTGCATCTTAAAATTTGGAAAAATTAAACAGAATATTAGTAATAAATTATTTTTAAACATGAATAATTCAGTTTATACTTGTATAACGTCAATGTAATCTACATTCAACTTCTTTAAGCTGGTTTCCAAGCTTTCGCGGGTTTTCTCCGGTGAAAAATCGAACATTTTTCGAGGATCCTTTTCATAACGGCCGATTTTTGTTGCTACGTAATATGCTTCACGTGGAATTCCATCCAAACACTAAGGAAATAAAAAATACGAAGGTATAAATTTAGTTTTTGAGATTTTTAGTTTTATTTTACTTTTCCAAGGATTGTTTCTGAAACACCCTGTCCATACCATGGGCCAGTGTCGATGTAATTAATTCCAGACTTCAGTCCTTGCAGAACAGTTTCCTTACATTGTTCTAGCGTAAATTCACTGTATTTCACACAAATCAAAAAGAATCCATTATTTTACTTTGTAATAAGAAAAACAATTTAATTATTTACCCATAAATGTTACAAAATCCACCGCAACCTAAGGATAAACGAGAAACTTGCATTCCAGTCTTTCCAAAAGGTTGATATTTCATCATTTTTACATCGTTTTCATTGTGGAAACCTTTAACGAATGTTTTTGGCAACATTTTGTTATATTTCCTTGAAATTCTTTCGAAATCCTGAAGAAACACTCGTGTATAAAATAAATATTATCACAATATAACTTCTATTAGTTTGACATGTTTTTATTTAAATAAATATATACTCACTCAATTAGCTCACAATTATGTAGGTAATATCTGTACAGAGAATTGCTCTTAACTGCACTTAATATAAATTATGTCAAAATAAATTATAATCTAGTTATTCAAACAAAGAGCGTTTTGCATTTCGTGAACTGTGTGAATACACGACACATGAAAACGAGATTATGAGGGTCATGGGCATCTGTTACCGGCGTGTATGGAGAAAAGCATGAACAATTTTATCTTCATCTCACTCATATTTCATTAGAGATTTATAAAAATAAAATAAACTTCAGCTTCACAACTGAAAACGGTTTAAAATGTGATTTTTGTTTTAAATATCTCTGCACAATGCACAAATTTTAAATTTGGCGCTTGTCTAGTAAACGTTTTGCTACTTTTTGCCAGATCTGTCATAAATCAATCTACGAGTACCGCTAGAAGTGAGAATCTTGCGTTGCGTGCAGAGAAATACTCGTAAAAACAGCAACGGCAAATGCATCGTGCTTAAAATCCATCGTCAGCAAGATTAATCACAAGAACAACATTCATTATTGTGGATAAAATCATCAAGCTCTCCATGCTAAACAAACAAACAAAAGCAGCAGCCAACCACGTTTAAGAAATCGCAAATCAAAGGTAATTGTTTGGTCCAGATAATAACAGTTTGCATCACAATCCCCACGGGGTCAGCACCGCTTGTTTGGTACGTTTTGCTTGTGATTTCCATACTGAAAACTTTTTTCTTTTCTTTGCCACACGTAGTTGCACTTGGGCGAACTTTCGGTTGCATCCTCACACCCGATTTGAAAACGCATGCGTTCCACTTGCGCGTCGGCGGCGTTTTTTTTTCTCTCCTGACTCTCGTTCGCTGCTTGCCAAACTCAACCTCAACCCGCACGCGCGTCCACATTTCGCACACGCAACACTCCGGTGCCGCTAACACACGAGATTACGTGAGCCCTGCACCTGCAACAACCTCCATCGAATGATGGACAAATAATAATCCAACCACACACAAACCGTAACGATGTCCGCAACGATCTACACGACATTCATCGAGCGCGAGTCGTGCTTCATCAAGATATGGGGCCAAAAAGAGAAGAACATCTCGATGTTCATCGAGAACTCGCTGATGCAGATGAAGCCACAGTTCGAAGCCGGTGTCGGCATGCTGCAACTCGATCAGATCCACACCGACTTGCTCTGCTGTGCGAAGTTCAAAGACAATTCCTATTATCGTGCGCGCATTACCAGCGTGGCGATGCTGCAGCAGGGCATGGTCGAGGTGCTCTTCATCGACTACGGCAATCGTGATCTCATCCAGCTTGCGAACATACGCACTATCAATAACTTTCCAACTTCAGTCATTGCTTTACCACCGCAGGCGAATGACTTTATTCTTGCACAAGTGCAAGTCAGCATTACTTTTCCGCCCGACTCCAGGTTTGAGATGATTTCGGATGAGATTAGATACTTGGACTTTGAGTATAAATATGTGGGACAAGTGGGACCGTATAGTCTTCTGTCGTTGTTTGCGGCAGGCAGGGATATTGCGGAGAGTTTTATCGCGCGGCAATTTGCATTGCCCATTGAGATCTCAATGCAGTTGATGATGTTACAGAACATTCTCAAGATATCACCACTTGGACTACCTGGGGTAGTGCAACAGCAACCAGCGGTGATGATGGCGCAGCGCAGCCCATCTATACCTATGAATCCATCGCAGACGTCACCAGGGGCGGGAGGACAACCGGATTTGTTGACTTTTAAGTCTTTGCCGTTGAAAGTTGGCTCGGAACACACTGTTTATGTGTCGTATGTCAATGATGGGCCTTGTTTATTCTCGATTCAACTGCAACACAAGGAGCAGGAACTGCAGGAGTTGATGTTTGAGTTAAACAAGTTGAAATTGGTGCCTATTGAGGAGAATATACTACCTGGATGTGTTTGTCTTGCGAGGAGCTCTGAAGATAATTATAGTTATATCTGTCGAGCTGTTGTTACAAACATGGTTGAAAACAACTACAAAGTAAGTTATTCTTTATATTTGGTATGAAAATATTATCGAAATATTATGTTTAAGGTGTTTTTTGTTGATTTTGGTAACACGGAAGTGCGTTCCTACGACGATATCTTCCAAATTCCATTCAAATATGTCATACCGAAAGTGATGGCAACCCGCTTTGCACTCAACGGACTTCAGGGACAAGTTGTTTCGGTCGATATGAAAGTTGCCTTCAAATCTTTCGTGGATAACACCGCACTGAAGATGCGTGTGTGTGCTCCATTCCCAAAAACAGGAGTTTCTCTCTGTGAACTTTACAATACCAATGGTGTTTCTGCTTTGGATTTTGTCCGGGGTGTTTCTCTCCAGGGTTATCCTGAAACAGTATCGCTCACCCGAGGATTCAATCAAGAAGTGAAAGTAAGCTATGTTTTCAGTTGTGTTAAATTCTATGTGCAACTGCGTAAGAAAGAAGATGAACTTAATAAGATGATGCAGGAGTTGCAAACTGCGCAGATGCAGCCGATTACTCAGGATTTGTTGAAAATTAACGCGCCGTGCATTGCTCTCTATGCGGCTGACGGGATGTATTACAGAGCGCAGATTTTATCAGTCGAAGGCAATTCAGTAGTTGTGAAATATGTTGATTATGGTAATGAGGAACATATTCCTATCAAAGATATTAGATCACCAATGATGGAGTTTATTACAAATTTGAGACCGCAGGCGATTGAATGTTGTCTCAATGGTTATCAGAACATGGAAACCGATCAGGAGAGGGATAATTTGTTGGAGGAGCTTATGTTGGAGCAGTATTTCAGTATGAAAGTGGCTGATGTGCAAGGTAGTCGTATCCTGGTTGATTTATTCGATGCGCAACTTTATAATGTCGCTTCGTTGTTACTGGACAAAATGGCGAAGACTCGCTCGCAAGTTAGTCCGGCTCTCGTGCAGGATAACAAGATTGATCACAGGAAAACTACGCCTAATAAATATTCACCCAGGTAGGCACATATTTTCGATATTAAATAAATCTTTTGTTTATTTTTATTTAATTTCTATTAATCAGGGATAATAAGACTGATTCATGGAGAGATAAAGAGCGTCCACAGCGCCAGGCTTCCAACGATTGGCGGCAAAACAAAGAACTACACCAAAACTCTTTCGAAAAGGAAGATAACGCTGAATACCGTAAAAAGATACATTCTAACACTTGGGGCGACAAAAACAACCGAAATTCTGGTGATGGTGAGTCAAAACCTTATCAGGACCGGCGCAAACCACAAAATTGGACTGATCGACCCCCAAAAGATTTGAGGATAAATCCAATGAATGGGCCGATGGTGATAAACCACGTTCGGAGTCAAAATGGAATGATAATAAACGCCAAAACAACTGGGGTGGAGGTGATGGTAGAGAAAACTCTCGCGAGAATTCATGGGGTGATAAACGTGAACAAAATGATAACACCTGGAATGGAAACAGACGCGAAAGACCCGAAAGAGACTTTAAAAAACGACCTCCTCGTGATGATTCATCTTCCTGGGGTGGTAGTGGAAGTGAAAGGGCTAATTCATCACCGAGGCGTCGACGTGATAACCGCAGTGAAGAGGGAAGTGAAAAATCATTCTCGTCTGGTAAGAGTTTTAAAGGAAAACGGGATAATTTCGGTGGTTCTCCACCAAAGAAAAACGTCGATGAGAATGTTGATTATGCTGATTCTAATGTGCAGTATACCAGGTTGAGTTTGATTGGGACTGAGCATAAGGTTTCTGTTTCTTGGTTCTACAATCCAACAAGTTTTTTCGTGCAGCCTGTCGATGATAAAGCTAAATTTGATTCTATGATGAAAGATATTCAGTTTGCGTATATAAAACGGAAAGTTCTGGAATCAGCTGAAGTCGGTAATACAGTTATCGCTCAGTTTCCGGAGGATAAAGCTTTTTACCGCGCTATTATTGTGGAGAAACCTTTAACAGGCACTTATAAAGTTCTTTATGTGGATTTTGGTAATACTGCCTTGACGAATAAGATTTATAAAGTCGAAAAAAGGTTTTTGGAGTTGCCAGCACAAGCTGTACATTGTGGATTGGTCAATGTTCATCCAGTAGGCGCAGAATGGCCGAAAGCGGACGATTTTGGCCGATTCTTTGGTGAAGATATAATTGACTGCAAGTTTGTCAATGCTAGTGATAACTTGTAAGTGAAATTGTTTTATTTGAACTATTAAATTGTTAATTATTTGTTTTATGTAGATATTCAGTTGAAATTTCAACAAAAGGTAAATCTCTGGTGAATGAACTTCAAACAGCTGGATTGGCAGTGGTGAGAATCCCATATGAACACTTTGACATCAATTATTTACTATCACAACAAATCTGCTGCAAACTCAACACGGTGCATGCATTAGACGATTTTACACTGGAGATTCTTCCGGGGTTAATTGTATCGTGCGCTATTTTCAAACACGAGTTAGCTACCACACCTAATTTGGATCTGATGAAAACATTCGTCAATCAGAAGATTATTGTGTTTGTGGATGATGTGCAAAACAATAAGTAAGTTTAAAACATTCAAGTTTTAAGAGTATTTGTTAATTAAATAATGTTCTAGGTTGATTGTCACACTTTACAATAGCAAAGGTCAATTTATTCCGGCGATAGAACTGCAGGAAGAAATGTTTGAAGTCGTCAACCCAGTTTGTCAAGCGCTCATCATTGGGCCGTGTATTTCTGGATATGTGCCGCATGCAACACCGAGTAGTGTTTTCATACAGCTTGATTATACTGCCAAGAACGTTGATCTATTGTTGGAGCAACTATTTCAGCGCTATGAGACTTCAGAGTATGCAGAGCTTGAGGTCAAGGAGATTTTCTATGCCGTCAAGTCATCGGACGGTAATTGGTACAGAGGTTTAATGAAGAATATCAAAGAGAATGAGATTACTGTTCAGTTTGTCGACTATGGTAATGAAGAAATTGTTGATAAAACATCTTTAAGGTAAATTTGACTTCTGGTTGTTAGAAATCTATAAAAATTAAGTTTATTTTTTATTCAGGCTGTTGACAGAGGACTTCTTTATTCCTTGCTTGGCTGCGGAGATTTCCCTCAAAGAATCTGAGCAGTTTTTGGATCAAGAAGTGAAATTAAAGGTTGTGTTTGGTGAAGATGCTTGGATTGGCGAAGTTATGCAACCAACTCAACAACAACTACCTCAAAACGACACAATACCAACTGAACAACACGTGGAAACTGAACAAGTTTCTATACCTGAAGAAACAACTCATGATATTGTCCAGGAAGAATCACCTCTGTCACCTATAGGTTTCTCAGTGGTTCTGAGCCACTTTGATAATCCAGGTCAGTTTTACCTGCAACAATCCTCAGCGCTTGAAGCAATCGCGCAACTTAAAAACGACCTACAACCTCAGATTGAGACACTAACTGATCTCGAAAATATTACGACTGGTATAATTTGCGCGGCTCCATACAGTGCCGATCAAGTTTGGTACCGCGCGCAGGTTCTTGACGCAGACGCAGAGATTACAACAGTTCGGTTCATCGACTACGGGAATACGGATGTACTCGGTACAGATATTAAGATTAAATCACTACCTGCTGAATTATTATCATTAGAGGAACATGCAAAGCGTTGCAGTTTACACTTATCGCCTGTGAATGGCGAGTGGACTTCTGAAGCGTGTAAACGTTTCGAAGATATTACTTCAGCTGGTGTTCAGCTGACAGCAGAAATTGTCCATCAAGATGAAATAACTACATTTGTACGTCTCTACGCGAATAACACATGCGTGGATGATATTTTTATCAATGAGGGTTATGCTACTGAGTTAAAAGCACCACAAGCAGCGTTCAAAGGTTTTGTAAGTAATCTAAACTCTCCGTCAGAGTTTTGGTTGCAATTTGAGCACGCATGTAATGATTTGGAATGGATTGCTGATCAGCTAGTGAACGCTGATAAGTTTAAACTGTTGGAAGATCAAGCGCCGGGTAGTTTATGCGCCGCCATCTTTCCCGAGGATGACAGTTGGTACCGCGCGCGTATTTTATCCAATACAGTCGCTGGCGTTGAGGTTTTATTCATAGACTATGGTAATTCTTGCACATGTACATCATTGCATGAATTACCAGAGGATTTGGTGATGGTTCCGCCATTAGCACACAAATGCAGTCTATTAAAACCTCCAGGATTATTGGAATGGTCAAGTAAAGCTACTGATAAGTTTAAGGAAATCTCCGCAGATGGCGTTACTGTGTTCACAGTGATAAAACATGCTCAGGGTGAGACTAATCAGGTACAATTAATTCTAAACGAAGAAGATATAACGCAGATATTAAAACCCGAGTTGTTTGAGGCTAAAATGTTATCGTGTAACAGCCTGAATGAGTTTTCACTGAGAAGAACTGATTTGGAAGATAAATTTACGGAGGTACAGGGTAAGATTCAAGAGTTGGGCGATAAACCATGCGCGGATGAGACAATTGTTGCTGGTTTATACGAGAATGTGTTTTACCGTGCGAAAATTAACGGTGCCATTGTTGATAAATATGTAGTGGACTTGTTGGATCTGGGTATTGAGGCTGATGTGACTGAATTGCGACAGTTGCCGAAGGATTTAGTGGAGTTGGAACCTCTATCAATGACTGTGAAGATGAATCCGTTGGTTGGCTATGCGTTTAATGCGGAAAGCGAGACTTATTTTAAGACTTTGTGTGAAACTGAGACCTTATTCCACGTAGAGTTAGTTACCGATAAGATTGTTAGACTGTATTTGAACGGGTGCGATGTTAGAGATAAAATGCCATCGACAAAATGCACTCCGTTGAGTTCTGTGCATAGTACGCCTAAGAAGGTTAAAATTGAAGACGTAATTGAGGTTAAAGACGAAGATTCATCAATTTTATTGAGTAAAACTGTTACTGAGGCTGAAAATATTGAAGAACAGATAAATACTGTTGAAATTGCAGTAGTAACGGAGAAAACAAGTGATATTGATGAAGTAAATATCGAGAAAGTAGAAAAAGGTGAAATTAAAGGAGTTGAGAAAGGTTTAAGTCTTGAGGATGAGTTGAAACAAGCCGAAAACAAAATGGCCGCCGAAATTGAAGATAGCAACATAACAGTTGATGTCAAAACCGAAAAAGAAGAGAAAGAAACAATTTCTAGTGTAAATACGTCTAATGACGAAGAGTTACTTAAAGATGCCGAGATGTTTGTATCTGTGACAGATGAACTTGTCGAGAAAGTAGCCAAGCAGTGCAATTTGATTGACGATGTCAATTCAAACAAAGAGGAAACTGTAATCAACGGAAAACACGAAACAAAAACCGAAGGCAAAGAAACCAATGAAGAAAATGGCGGCGAGACGTCAAGTGTCACAAGTTCTTAGTTCGTAAGCGTTTAAATATATTTTTGATACAATTTTATATGAGATCGATTGACGATTGTTATTGTTGGCAAGTTTACTATTACGTTATATTGTTGGTAACATGCGATGAGACTATTTTACGATTGCTCACGAGTAGAATCTATCGTGCGGCGCAGAACATTCTGAATTTTATTGTGTATGTTACTTTGTTCCAGGTTTGCGAGTTTTTTGAATAAATCTTCTTTCTGAAAACAGTCCACGTAAACATCACAACCAAAACGTGCGAGATTTCGATTACGACTTGTTTAATTATTAAAATTACATCTTGGACACTAGAGTTAAGTCTTGATATACATAATAATGTTGATATTTAAAGCACCATTAAGTTTTTTTGATAAGTATTGGCCTCTTGGTGAGCCTATATCAGGTGTAATATAATAGACATTTAAATATCACACATTGAATCACAGGAAAATGGAATAGACATTGATTTAGTAAGTGTTGGTCAAAGTCTTGCCTTGGTACCGTTTTGTTGTGCGCGGGCAACCCGCTAATTGCTCTCTAGTGCTCACTCTGCGCGACTAAAGTATAATAAGTACGATGGTGATTAAGTTGGTGTGGTAGATATGTTACAAAAATATGTCTTTTGACTCTTGGTAGGAAAATACGTCAGTTCAGCGTTGGTTTCACTCGGGCGGGTGATGTTGGGTTGGAGGTGAATTCTGCTTGCTCGCCTTCGCCTTGTTCCTCGAGGAATTTGTTTATGTCAATCTTTGTGAGCAACTGGAAGAGTTATAGTTAGCTTTTCATTTGAATTTTACAAGTGAAGTTTTTAGTTTTTGCTTAATAACTCAAAAAGTTTATGAGGTACAATAACAAATATTGCACAACATGTTCATTATTAAATTTGGAGTTTAAAAATGTTTAAATTGTGCTGATTATGTTTTTATTTAAATAGTTATAAACAATTTTCTAAAAACTTCACTTTTTTCCATTAAAAATAATGAATTTACATCAAAATTAATTAAATATACCTTGGATGGTTGTAGAAATCGACTAGGAATCCGTGAAACATGTTGTCCTGAAGAAGGAGGTCCAAATCCAAGCCCCAACAGCACAGCCTCCGGATCAGGACGTCGTAACTCCAGCACTGATTCCACACTGGAGCAATGACTACAGTCATCGGATTGTATAGACGTGTCGCGCCCAAGGAGGCGCAGGCTGGGCCTACTCGTCGCCGTGTACTGCGGCATCGGCTGGTCTGGCAGGTGCTTCGGGGACGGCAGTGCGTCCAGCCACTCTTGGATCGTCACTGGCGATTTTCGCATGCCGCTGGCGAGGTGCGAATTAGGAGCAAAAAGTATGTTTATCACCTTTCTGCGTTTTTCTACGGCAGGTGAGCAGAGTGGTGTGTGTGCTTGGAATGTTTCAACTCGTGTCGGACGTGCGAAACGAGCTATAATAAGCGTACATCTGTGTGGTTTTTCGTGCAAACACGGCGAACGCAAACAAACAATTGAAGCGCGCGTAGCAGGTGAAGATAAGTCGACGCCTGACGTAAACCAGATAATTGATTGAGGCGCGCACACCGTTCCGATACGGTGCTAATTTTAATCGGACAATAACAGCAGGTAGGATAATTGACGTGAATGGAGGCGCCGATGGAGGGAATGCGAGTGACGAGGTAATGAACAAAGTGCAAACGCGCACATGGAAACGCACTTGTAGACCCAAACTGTTGAATGTGTAATGTTTGGAAGTAGGTTATTTGCAGGCGGTTGTTTCAGGGAAGCAACAAGTCATTATCTTATCGAAAGCAAAGTGTACGTGCATCATCATTGTCAATATTTCGTCCTGTTTTACGTTTTATGTTGCAATTAAAGCATGTTAGTCACTTGGAATATTTTGTTCCGTCAAATAATTACAAAAACACTTGAAACAATCGACAATTTTCAGCGTTAGATGGAGATATGAATAAAGTCAACGCTCTGTATTTTGTGATAATTAAAAATATTAACTTTATTTACCATTCTGTGGTATATTAATATAAATATTTGAAAAAACGTTTGATTATGTAATTTATGACGTCACTTTGTATAAAATACGTCTAGTCATGATGTTCAGGGACGTTTAGGCATATTTCAGGGTCAATTTCTCAGCTGAGCTTACGCAGGAGCCCGCAGGAAGCAAATTGAGGTTATACAATTCGCTCGGCAGTTTTTAATCGCAATATTTCTCGCAAAACATTTCGTCAACGACGAATATAGTCGTAAATCTATACTCAGGCGCACTTATATAACACACATTCAAACTTGGTAAGAATAACCTATTGAATCAATAAATGTTACTAATTTTTAATATTTAGGAAACATGAATTCATTATTTCAATCTTCTGGTCTAAGACAACTTGTGTCTCAAACGCTCAGACGCAGTATTAACCTAAGTGCAGCAGTTGGCAACTCATTTAAGATTCAAGATGAGAAGGATTTCTCAGATAAGATTGAAAACAGCAAGGAGGCCATCATTGTTGATTTTCATGCAACTTGGTGTGGTCCATGCAGGCAGTTGGAGCCTAGATTGAATAATGTGATTGCAAAGAAGGCTGGAAAGATTAGTCTGGCTAAAGTAGACATTGATGAAATGGCAGAGGTTGCTGCTAAGTATGATGTTGGTTCTATTCCTGCTTTATATGTTTTCAAGAATGGGAAAGTTGAGTCCAGATTAGTTGGATTGCAGGATGAGGACAAGTTGGAGATGTGGGTTGATAAGGTTTTGGCAGGAAAGTAATTGCTGTAAATATGTGTTGATGATATTAAACTAAATAAAATAGAATCGTAATTTGTGAAAGTGATTCTTTGAAATTCTGTACGCATTGCCGTGTATAACTGGTTGCCTATATGTGCAACATTCATGACTCGCATTTATTTTTCAATATTTGCAGTGTGTTATTTGTTTAATAGCATGCGCTTTTAAGTCAACGGCAACAATGACATGCCTTTCTAATGTTTCAAGCGTTTCAAACCCGATCTATTAGTTTTTTGTTGTCGAATTAAAGAAATATTTGTGGAATTTACGTACGTCGCATACATAAACTGAACCAAGCAAGTAGTAAATGCAATTCGTGGAATTAATGGTGACTAGGAAGAAATCAGCCGTCAGAACGATAGGTTGGTTCGATTTGTCGACATATTTGCGATCCACATCGATTGTTTATTATCTCTGACGGGAGAAACGAAAATTCGCAGTGTCAATATTTCAAACTTCGCGCCGCTTTCTACCACGAGCTTCCGGGCGATCGACCCCGTGCGCCATTACCATACCGCAACGAGCGGTAAGCAAACCTCCGCAAACATAAATCCGTGCAAAGCGAACCCAAACCCAGCGAAAGCGATCATTTCGATACCTGCTCGACGTACCGAACGTGGACCCTTGCGATTTTGCCCTCGATCGACGATCGAAGGAAACGTGCGATTTAAAGGTTATTAGCGAGTGGAGTGGCGTAGGAATATCACACCTTGCGGCGAGTCGTTGAAGCCTTTTCCGTTTTAACAAACGCGAGTTGAACATGTCGTATACGTCTGATAGAAGGTAAGTCTTGTTTTTTTCGCATATCAATCGGTGTTTTGTGGTGAAATCAGCGTTCGCGAGTGCAAACGGCCGTGTGTTGTGTGCGGCGCCCGTTTTCCAGCCGCCCCGGCGGGTATTTTCGGCCGAAAATCCGTCATTGGCGACAGATTCGCATACATCTCGAATGCCAACATGGCGTGGACGACCAGCCGATCCCCGGTGGTTTGCGGCTCAGCCGTACCGCTGATGCCGCCAAAACCGATGTGCCTGGCGTGCACGGGGAGAACACGCTGCCGCCGCATCGCGTATAAATAGCCATTGGGCGGTTTTCGTTTCGTTTCTACCGCGATAAATGATGGCGGCCGCTTTGACGGCCTGCGCTGATTCATAGGTCGATTCCCTTGAAATCGCACGGAATTCGCGACCACGTGAAATTGCAAGTTTTCAAGTTTAATGCATTTCCCGACATAATAGTGCTAGTTTATTTCGTGACCGTGAGCTTTACAATCACATAAAATCAAATGTTTCTAGAAAGTTAGCATTTTCCCTCCATAATGGAAAAATCCATAATGCATTAATTATTGAATAATCTCTTAAAGATAATGATTCATTTTTATTTCGATAATTAATTATTAACGAATATTTTAGGAACGAAGAATGGTCTGGGGAGAAAAATGGCCCTGCGTCCGAGAAGGAGCCCCAGAGCTTCGAAGGTCCGCCTGGCATGGACCCCGACGGCGTCATCCAGTCAAACTGGGATGAAGTTGTCGATAACTTCGATGACATGAATCTAAAGGAGCAACTGCTTCGCGGTATCTACGCGTATGGTTTCGAGAAACCGTCGGCGATCCAGCAGCGCGCTATTATTCCGTGCGTGAAAGGGCACGACGTCATCGCCCAGGCGCAGTCTGGTACAGGCAAAACCGCCACCTTTTCCATCTCGATTCTGCAGCAGATCGACACGTCGCTGAAGGAGTGCCAAGCACTGATCCTCGCCCCGACGCGTGAGTTGGCCACGCAGATCCAGAAGGTCGTCAGCGTGCTCGGCGACTACCTCTCCGCCGAATGCCACGCTTGCATTGGTGGCACCAATGTGCGCGAGGACATCCGCAAGCTGGAGTCCGGCGCGCACGTTGTTGTCGGCACACCCGGTCGCGTCTTCGACATGATCAGTCGGCGCGCATTGCGCACCGGCCACATCAAGATGTTCGTGCTCGACGAAGCCGACGAGATGTTGTCTCGTGGTTTCAAGGATCAGATTCACGACGTTTTCAAAATGCTTAACATGGATGTGCAGGTCATCCTGCTGTCGGCCACCATGCCGAACGATGTCATGGACGTGACGAAGTCGTTCATGCGTGAGCCGGTGCGCATCCTCGTCAAGAAGGAGGAGCTGACGCTCGAGGGTATTCGGCAATTCTACGTGTTTGTCGAGCGCGAGGACTGGAAGCTGGAGACGCTCTGCGATTTGTACGATACGCTGTCCATCACACAGGCGGTAATCTTCTGCAACACACGACGCAAGGTCGACTGGCTCACCGAGAGCATGCACAAGCGCGACTTCACCGTGTCGGCCATGCACGGCGACATGGAGCAGCGCGAGCGTGATGTTATCATGAAGCAGTTCCGCAGCGGGTCGTCTCGTGTGCTTATCACGACCGATCTGCTTGCTCGCGGTATTGACGTGCAGCAGGTCTCGCTCGTCATCAACTATGATTTGCCCTCCAACAGGGAGAACTACATTCACAGGTAAAACACCCGTTACTTTTCTTTTAACTAGCAATTAACTTTGTGCATTGGTGCATGACGAATTTATTTAAAATTTTCATGTTTAATTAAGTTAATTAATGATACATTTTTGGTAATGTGATGTTTAATGTGCGGTTTGTTTGCAGGATTGGTCGTGGTGGACGTTTCGGTCGTAAGGGTGTCGCGATCAACTTCGTCACAGAGGACGACAAGCGCGTTCTGACGGACATCGAGTCATTTTATACGACACACATTGACGAAATGCCCATGAATGTGGCTGACCTCATCTAAATCGGCTGGCTCTGCTGTGTCCGACGTTGCCTAGAGTTTCCTATGGTGTGAGTATTTAGCTACCTGCCTCTACACTGTGCGCCGTTCCCGAGCGACTAGTGTGCGACTTAAGCGAATTCGTGCGCCATTACGTCTCTTTAGGCCAGCGCGCGCGCGCCACACGGCCCATTCACAATTTTGCAACAAAAATTTACATATACATAGCGAGATATATACAGATCTACAGCAGAAATCGACCGACAACCAGCCAACCGACAGAGCAACAACAACTAACTACAATTACATATTATAAACATTTTACCGAGTGTGTATTTATCGTCTGAATAGCGTTGGTTATAAGCTAGTTCACTGGAAAAATACTATTCGTTACTACTAATATTCAATACTATATTCAAACAAACCAAGCACCTTTGTTGGGGTTCGATTTATTGCTATTATTATTATTACTACTACTAACATATAACTCTCATATAAGTTGCACATTTTATCTAGTTTGATTGCGGTGAATCCGAAATTTGATATACAATTAGTTTTCATTTGTTTTTGTCAATAGTTCGATATTGTAAGTTTTCTTGGTAGAAACACTTAGTTAGGTTCTTAGATTGTAAGTAGGTAGAGTGCTAGTGATTTAATTTAGACGTGACATGGGCGAGTGGTTTGCACCCGGCCGACGACGGCGGCGGCAGCGGCGGTGTCGCGTCGCATCGATCGACGGGCGGGCGGCAGCGCCGCCCACGCGGCACGCTCGCCTTCGCAAGGGTTTAGTTGGATTCTGGAAAGGTTATTTTAATTACAAGCGATGCCGGTGTCGGCACTTTGCCACCATTACTCCGAGTGTGTATATGGGTGAACGGGACTCGTTTACCATTATTTTTTTTTGAAGCGGTCCGGTTTCGCCCGCGATTCGGCGGCGGCGGTTGTGTTTGCCAATTTTGTATGATGATCGATTTTGAGAACATGAGATTTATTGACTGCTAAATACTAGTGGTGATTTAATAAAAAGGACCGCATGTGGTAATTTGCTCTCTTGTCTTGCAGAATCTAACAAATGCGCTCGATATGATATATGAACAAAATGGCGTCGTCGAGAGCACGCGGGCGGGGTTTTGGGGCGCTCTTTCTACAATTTATGATATTTATTTCCACATTGGATTAGCGAGAACACAATGCCCTTTTAATTCAATTCGATTTGTAAATGTATTTTGCCTCTTTGCTAATAATCGGCCACACACACAAACGTGTGTGGGGGTTTTCTGGAAAATTTTTGTAAAACTGTGAAATTTATACCTCTCCAAACTAGTAAACCCTAGCTTTTTTTCATATTTGTGAAACCTAGCACCCTAACTACTGAGCCATTGTTGAGTGAACGCGCAGCATCTGCTTTTGAAACCCTAATCCTTTAAAGCGTATTATATTACGATTAATAACGTTGCAACGAATTTGCATTCTCACGGTTTATTCCGATTCATAGCAAATGAATTCCATGAGTCAACTGATTTTTCTGAGATAAATGAGTCAATCCTCAAGATGGCGCTTTGCCACCTTGAAATAATTCTAGAACAATTCTCAACACTTCATTATTGCTTTTTTGTTTGTTGTTGATTTATTTTTTCTTTTGCAGCTGCGAGCGGACCGTACCCCCGTTCAGTCACATTTCATACCACACACAAAAACACAGAAATTGAACAAAAAAATCAGAAAAATTGTGGAATAAAGCCAGTTTTCCCCCTATCACTAATTACTAACGCAGAGGCACTTCACAGAAATCTCGATTCCATTTTGAACCTTCTAAAAAATTAAATTTTTCCCAAACAATCTGAAACTTTAAATTACAAGTTGTTCGTTTCGATTTCCTTCGAAGCCAAGTTGCGCAGCAGCATCGTCGCCGAGGATGACAGCCAGTTTTGCAGTTTGTCGTATAATTTAATTTAATTGACTAAATAATCATTTTTACTACATAATAAGGTAATGTGCTCTAATAAATTATTTTGTCTTAGCGTTTCGTCTGTTTGGTAAATAAATTTCAACATTTTTCTATTTAATATGTATTTTCGAGTTGAAGCTAGTAAATTTGAATATACTTTAGATGTATATTCGGTTGCCTATAATGTTTACGTACCATGACTATAAAAATTTGGTGATATTTAGTGTCATATGGGGAAATCCACTTTAGTTGGCATCGTTGGCAGTTGCTGGAGTACGCAAGCGCATGCGGGACTTCCGCACCGGCAAGAGGGGCACCGCCGAGCAGTTGGTAAGCGGCGCGGCGCATTCAGTCACGTTCGACGTCGCAGTAACTAGTGGAGCCCTCATAGTGAGTGCGCGCCGTACACAGCGAGCAGAAGATAACCCGTCCGGTCTCCAGCGCCGCACCAGCACCTCAGTCGCCTTCGTGCTTCAACTCCCAAATAACATCCACCACATACACTCACCATGAGCTGGCAGGATTACGTCGACAAGCAACTGCTGGCCTCGCGCTGCGTCTCGAAGGCCTGCATCGCCGGACACGACGGCAACGTTTGGGCCAAATCCGAAGGCTTCGATGTAAGTAAACCACCCTATTAACATATCTGAAACAAACTCCACCGGCAATTTGTGTTCCAATTGGATTGATCACCTAAAAAATGTAAAAGAGTTGCGCCGGCTTCGCATGTGGTACACCGTAGAGGGGCTTGGCCGGAGTCGACTCTTCCAAACGCTCATATCTCGCGTTGTACGCCGTCGGCTCAACCGCTCCCGGCGTGGATCGACCAACCGTCGACCCTAGCATTAACTCCCGCATTGATTTTACGTCCGGCTGGCGCACTGCGGGCGCGATTTGCGAAAAACGCGAACAATGCCGGCGAATTTCGCTTCGTCAAAATGGCCGCCCGGCTCTGCAGATCTGCCTGCGGCCCGACGTGTGTGAGTGTGTGCGTGTGCAGCGAGCGGCGTTGAATGCCATTCGCGGCGCGTTTCGCGACCAGCCGAAATATTCGGACATACGGGGCGAAACACGTTTTCGAAGTGTTTGCGCGAAAACACAGCGGAAGGCCAGCGATAAGAGGCGGAAAAATCGGCCGGCTACACAATGGGGCAATCCATACGTCCGTCTCGCTTATCTCCACCGAACATATTCTTTATTTCTGCATTATCTTTGTCTGTTTAATTTATCTGTCGTTATTATTAAATCCAGCGTGTTGCACCAACCGTCGTGTTGCGGTGCGATTTGCATAGTCGTAGCATTATTCAACTGTTTTTCAACTATCAACAAATATGCGCCGACTCATACACACACTGCCGCAGATGCACGGGAATTATTATTAGACACGCTGTGAGTGAATGTGTGCACGAGTCGGCACATGAGTCACGAGAAACGCCGGTGATGAATCGGCACAAGTCGCAAATCTGGAATAATCGAAAGTCGCGAAAGCCAAACAAGGTGACAAATTTGGTTAGAATTTCCCATGCATACTACAACATACATTGATTGAATGCACAATATGGTCGTGAAGTATGGAATTAATTGAATAGTTTTTTTCGGGGCGTACGACGCGTGGAAATAATTGGTGCGCTTAATTAATGCGCGCTTGACTCAGACTCATTTAGCTAATTGGTGTTTTATTTCATTCTATTTGATTCAATTCCACTATTACTCAAACATAACCTAGAATGAATTCGTCGACCATTGCGTGAATAAAACGTGTCGAATCATGTTTGAGGGTTGAGGAGAGCAGAACAAAGCACTACGCACACGCATAAGGGAAGTTGTACGCGAGATTTTAGGGTCGCGCCGCTCTTTGCGCATCACCATCATCATCCCTTCGGGATGCGCGCGTGTGCGCGCGCTTGGAATTCAATGTCGCGGACGCGGAAAGCTACGCCACGCGACGCGCCGCCACCACCCCATTGACGGGAACGCGCGCCGGGGTGTGCCGGTCCCGACTTTATTGATCCTGCGCGCCGGCGAAGGGGCGAAAGCAGCGTGTGCCGTGTGGCTGGCTGACGTTGGTTCTGTGGATATATTTGTGTGTGTGTGTGAGCGGCGGTGGCGGTCAATGCGCCGGATAGCCTTCACCTTGCGCCGGCATCAAGGCCCCTCCGTGCGTCGAGTCGAGGACGGTCGCGCGTCTCGCGACCGTCTATGACTATTATCTCGGCGATGCTAGCGAGCCAGTCGGCGTGCACAAGTTCATTATGCGTTCAAACAATCGACGAATGCCTCGCTGCCCATCAAGTCTCGAACAGGTGATGAGCGAAAATTGATTATACGGAATGTTGCCACAAAAAAATAAAACACTTTGGAGAGAAAATGTTGAGTGGCACGCGACCCTTTTTCTCTTGTGTTATCATCGATAATGATAGCGTTGGGTTGAGTTAAAAATTCTTTTCTAGGTAATTAACGGCTTTTACGTTTTATCAATCGTAAAAAGTAGGTTTTACACAATTTGTGTTGTCAATAAAAATTGTATATTGCTTATCGTGTGCATGTACGGAGAATTTTGAGATTATTTTGTTATCTTTCCACTTTACACGCCCTAAAATGTCATTTTATGCACTCTAGACATTTAATGCGGATTTTCCTGCTTATACTTTACTTTTTTCGGATTCTACGAAAGTGATTTTAATTTTAGCCTTTGAAGGTTGCTGCTTGTATAGCTTAATTAAATATTTCGTTTTGTTCGGTTATAATAATTTCATTCATACGTCATAAAACCAAAGAGCAAGACAACGGACCCCCCTTTGTTAATAAATAATTCAAGATAGAAATGTGCCATGTACGCACAATGAAACATAAAACCTCCCGGGCATATCGTGTAAAAGTATTTCTCGTAATTCCTGCAGTTCGTCGAGTTAATTGATAATTAACTCGAACCTGAACCGTGCATGTACAACAAAAATATTTAGACTTTAATCGGCTTGCTTGACGTTTATAAAATTCAACAAATAAATCATGTTCATACACGATTTGATGGGTTTATAAGTTTTATTGTCGATGAATTTACATTTACAAGACGTGCAATTATTGAAATATTTCGGATCTGACCTGGTATTATTAATTGTCGGTGGGCATGCCACATGTAATTGTAATTGTGGATAATTGTCGGAGCGTTTATACGTTTTGAATGTTCGATAATTACATTGTAAATCGCGCGCAATTAGGATGGTTATATGTTTATTATGCGTGCCACACAATAAATTCAATGTTATCATCATTAGTTGGCGAAGAATTATGTATCTTTTGAAACAGTGTGATTGTATTTTATCAAACATCCTGTAGATTGTTGTGTGTTGCACTTGTGTGTGGTGGCAACGTTCGATAATGTCATTGTGTGGAAGTGTTCATCTGCTGGATCGGCATCGGCCGCCCTATCCTGCCCAGCGAGAACGGACGTGCAACGTGGAAGTCGTGGAGCTTGAACCGCGCGGGCCGGACGGAACGAACAAAACGTGCGCGCGCCCGGTGCTTGTGCATGCTGCCAAACAAAAAGACCCGTTTTTCGGCTACATCTACTTGCGGCCGAATTCATCGACTGACTGGTTTTTGGTTTTGCGGTTGGAATAAAACAACGCAAAGTGTTAATTATTTCACAAAACATTTCATTTCAGCCTGGAGAGTTTTTCTTCATATATATTGCAATCGTGTATTAATTTCGGTTATATTTTTGGCAACTGAAATGAAGTCACTCAAGATGTTTCCAACTTGTTTCTTGTGAAAAAGAAGAGGAAAAAACTTTGCTGTCGTAAAGTAACTTGCGGCGGATGATGCACAAGATGCACACACATCCCACATGCGACTGAAACATTGAACATTCTGAAAATGTGAAAAATAGCTGCCACTGCCAACTGAAAAAGTTCTCTCCTGCAAGAAGTCCACAAAATCAACTTTCAGCTTCTTCTGTTTGTATGTGCGTGTCTCTTGTTTTTCTTTTTTCCTGTATCAACATTTCATACTCATCCCCCCTGGCTAGATAGCTACTAGAACCGAGGTAGAAAGAAAAGCTTTTACTTGATATTAACCAAAAGATCTAGGAGTTTTAAAAGGTCTCGGCTCTTCGGTTCTATTCTATTCTGAACATCTTACATACGTGTTGTTGTGTTGTGCGTCATGATGGAAGTATTTTTCCACCATGTTGTTGTTGCGCGCACACACATTATCTGTACAACAGCTGTTGTGCATTGCACGAGACCCTTCACCTAAGCTGCTCTTTTTTAATGTATGCATGTGAACAAACCGCCGCGAGACTTTAGAATTCACTCGTAACGGGAGTTTATCAAAATTTATGCGACTTTTAAACACGGCACGGCGTTGTGTTTGGGCGTGTTAAGTTGTGAAAGGTTATCACGCCGAGTGCAAATAATTGCCGGCGTGGATTTTTATTTGTCAGCTTATAAATAAAACGTTTGATAGCGTTAAATATATTTTTTAATATTGTGTGTTTATCATTCACGTCGCCAAATAAGCATTTTATCAATTTGAAGTACCAATGGGATATCAATCGTGACACTCATTGAACAAATTGTGAAGTTTAGATTCGTGGAATTTTTGCTTGCTGTTTGCAGTTTATAATAAATTGCAGCGCAGACATTGTTAACCAGTTTGCGCTGCGCACCTTTACACACACATACACATAGATGTTGTAAAGGTTTAAAATGAACTGACTTATTTGCAAGTAAGTTGTTTGCTCGGTTTGCCTGCCGCTTGCTTGCTTACTCGGCCGTTTCGCGAATCGCGCGCGCCGTTACCAGCGGCCTTGCTCCACATTTTCGCGTCGGCACCGTGTTACTATGACATTGCCATTGCGCCCAGCCGCGTACGCCTCTGCTTTCTTTGGCTCTTGTCCTTTACCATCTTGACAAGAAAAGGCTTAACAATGATGTCAATCATTGCGCTTTGACTGCGTCTTCTGCTTGTTTTCTAGTCATAAACATTGACTAATTTGCGCTATAATAGGCGAATATCTTTAAAGGAAGTTGTCTTTTCGAAAATTTATGTCAAACGTTGTGAAATCGCGTCATTTCGACGAGGACGAGCTGATTCAATATTCCCCCGATTGTAATTTCTATTAATAAATGCGGATAATTGCGTTCGCATTGGTTACCTGCGAGTAAGAATGTGGCTACTTGAAGGTAATTACCGTCCACTGCTGTGAGTTATGCGCACGGCTGGTGATAAAACTTGGAAATGTACGAGAATACATTCGACACACTTAAAACGACGAGATGATGCCGCATAGAAGCTTGATCTTAATAGCATCTTAATCAACATCGGCGGCGTGGGTTTGTTTAATATATGAATGTCTTATTTATTGCATTTTATGGCGATTGCATTGTAGTCAGAACAAAATTTATTGCGATAAGGGAATTAATTAGTTTTTGTGGTGGAAATATAATGCGGTTTGTTTCTTTAATCAGAAATTTATCAAATTTGCGGTTGCATACATTTCCTATTATTGTAGATTTAAAAATGTAAAGTAGCTCATTACCTAATTTGAAAAAATTAACTCCTTGTTAGTTTTTCGCTAACATGGTTACAACAACATTAGTGTACGTAACTTGAACCTACTTAAGCCAGTTGTGTCCGTTGTTATTCTTCTCCCTTGCTGCTTACGCTTCTCTATTCGTGTTGATGTTAACACGACTCGACACATGACTTAGCGGTCGCGCTCTCCACTCGTGTGTGTGTGTTGGTTTTGCGCTAACGGATTCTCTGACTACTGACTACCAACTTGGGGTAAGCAGTATAAGCGCACATCTGGCGCGCAGATTACTATCGCGGCGTGTCTCCTAGATCGAAATTGGTGATGATTCCGCTTTGAGACGACACACGCTGAACTTGTGCTACTGTTAGCCAGTAATTATGGTAGTAGTGCCATGGTCAACGCGTGTGCTCGATCAAATCTTGTTTAGATTTCAAGCCGAGTTAACTTTTATGGGCATTTCTCGTATTTGTTTCTAGAAATCAGAGAAATTGTAAAAAATGTGTGTCAATAGTTGCTGCAAAAGTAGCAAATTCTACAAAAACTAAACATGTGCGTTTTTTTTTGTGTTTTAGGTGGGCAAGGAAGAAATTGCGAAGCTGGTGCAAGGCTTTGATAAGCAGGACATGCTCGCCGCCTCCGGGGTGACACTCGCCGGCAACCGTTACATCTACCTATCAGGCACGGACCGTGTCGTCCGATGCAAACTCGGCAAAGTCGGAGTGCATTGTATGAAAACGCAACAAGGTAATCTTAAAAAAAATCTATTTTGTAATCTGTAATTTTTCTGCTTTAAACTTTCAATTTTCAAGTTTATTCCGCCGTAAACACAAGCGAACTTGATGTTTACACGCAGTGAGACGATTAAAATGCAAATTACATCACTGCTTATGCAGTTGTTAATGCTATGCATTCGAAAGTGTAAACCGCGATTGAAAAGTGAAGGAAATTCTAGATTGTTGTGTGCGAATGAAGACATTTTGCTTGGTTGGTTAAGCAACCGATTCGGATTCACCTTGATTACCTTGATTATTCGCGTTTTGTGCTGTTCATGCTTTCTTCACTTGTGAGACGCCAGCAAGCAGCTTCTGCTTGGCTGGTCGCGCTCTTTATTTTATTCAACATTTTAACGTGCGCTCGTGCTTTTTTGTTTGCCAATAAGGAGAAAATTTAATCGGCACATTATATAAAACATTCAATCGATGGCACAGCATAGCACAATGACAAAAGTGCGTGGGCGTATTATTTATTCGCTGTATTATAGCACACCGTTTTGCCTTTATGCTTTACAGCGTTTTTTTCAATTTTCATTTTCGATTTATTTCGAAAGCCAATTCATTTCGTCTCCCGGTGGTGGTTTGTTTCGGTCGTGTACGATGAATTTTAATAAAATTCGTGAAATATTCATGACACGGTTTCACGACGTCTAGCCGCCATCCACTCTGCGCGCGACATACGCAATACACGGCCTGCGAAAGACAGCAAACGAATTTATTAAAAAAAGTCTGTCTTGCACAAACGCTTCGGTTGATTCGGGTCGGAAAACAGAGACTTTTATAGATATTTGGGTTGATTGCGCGTGGTGGGAATGTGAAATATCGTCGTGTGTTGCCAGTTGTAATTTCCTGCGTAGGCCGGGGCGATATATTTTTGGCCCGGCAGTCAGAAAGTGTGTAAAATTTGGAAACGTTTCGATTTCCACGGATTCCACTCACTCGCGACCGTTAGAACTACGTCGGTCATAAATTTCTTCGTTTAAATAGAATTTTATTGCGTTGTGACATGCAAAAGATCGGAATTAATTTCACAAGTGGATTCAATTTTAATTTTTTAACTAACGCCAAGCACGATTGTAATTTGCAGCGAAAGTAAAAGGTCTATTGTTAATCGTACAAATAAGCACACCGTGCAAATTTGGCAGTGTTTGCTAAAGACTTGAACAAACTGCCAAAATTTCACCTTTGTTGTTCTTTCACTCACTGTGAGTACATTCACATTTGTGTGATCTTTACCAAGCGTTTTTCAACATCTATTTATAGTGGAATAATTTTTTTATAAACAGTTTATTCGAATGGTATCATGACTTGTTTATTAACGAGAGCGTAATCGCGTAATTGTTTAGGCACACAGGCGAATAGTTGACTAATTAATTCATGCATATTTATAGTTTCCACATGATTCGTATTTCATAGCGGCGTATCGATCCGTCCGACGCGCACTGTGACTCATTCATGCAAACGCGGTCGAGTGTGTGAGGTGGAAGTTTCGATATGCTGTTCTCTAGGCGCTGGCAATATTAATACGTAATCATAAAATTCGTTTGCGTACGTAGCACTCGGTGTACATCGACACCGGCCGGTGAAAATTGATCCCAATTACGCTGATAAAACTCGAAATTCTTTGATTAGAGCGCAGCTTATATTTATTTAACAACTAGCGTTATCTGTTTAGTTAGTGATATATTAACCTCAAGAGGATATTACTTGGCTGTATTTATTACATTGTGATTTTTGCGAGTTTTAAGAGGTTTTCGAGCGCTCGCTCGTTCGTTCGTCTAATATTTTGTTATGATATTGGTGTTATCTTATCGATATTACTTTTGGTGTTTGCACAACCCATAACATTTTATATTTTGTGTGATTGCAGCTGTGGTAGTCTCCCTGTATGAAGATCCTATCCAACCTCAACAAGCAGCGTCTGTGGTAGAAAAGTTAGGTGATTACCTAATAGGTTGCGGATATTAGAGGTGAGTAAAGCTATATAGGTACTATTAGAAAACTACTTAAAAAGAATATGCTTCGTGTTTTTTGTAATTAGTTTTGAGTGCTAAAAACAAGATAACAGTGGAACGGCTCCGATTGATGATGTTTTTTAAAGAAAAAATGAAGTGTTTGCTTCTGTGCACTTCACGTGGTTTAGATTCAAAGTAAATAGCAAATAGTTTAGCTACTAGCTGGATTTGTCGGTAGTTTAGTCGACAAATTGAGCTTGTCACGATTATTGTTCCGCATGCTTGGGCGAACCAGAGCCGTGAAGGAAAGAACATTGAAAAACTAGCGAAAATAACCACGATCGACACGTATTTCTACTCAAAAAAAGAAATTAAGTTTCAAAAATGTTGTTATTTGACTAATATGTGTTTTCTTTTCTTTTGATTTCAGATAGTGTGTACGATTCGCCGTTTAAAAACTTCATTTTCAACAAAAAGGAAAATACAACAGCATTCATACGGCACCCCCCCCACATTTATTAATCATTTATACATGATAAAGATTTTTGTATTTTTTTCATTAACAGCGAAAAAACCAGCAATGTGTATATCGAGTGCGTTTTTCATAATATAATAATAATTACAAAGTAAGGGCAGAAAAAAAAACGAGCAAGCAGGGGCGGCGGGGCGCGGCTGCCGGCCGACGCCGATCCGCATATTTATACACGAAATAAAAAATTTGTATACATAGATAGCGGCATTAGCTAACGACGAAAACAACAACAACAAACAATATGCTATGATTTTTTTCTTCTTCAGCAATTAAATTAAATTAAATCAATTCATTATTTCACACTGTGGACTACTCTGGTTTTAAGTTTCACGAATCGAATTTTCACACACATACATACATACACATACAATTCATGTCCGCTGGCTGTATTTGTTTTGCATTTATTACAACATTTTGATTTTCGATGGCATTGCTGTGACCTGCGACACCGAACACACATGTATTCCTCAATTTGACTGAAAGCCATGCGGAGAGTAAAGAAAAACCGTTCATATATACTGCACACCACATAAAAGAAATCAAAACGTATGGGTTTTTTTGAAAAACAAAATCTCTAGTCCCGCTGGTAGGTTTTTCTTTACCTTCTATGTCGCTATCGTCATCTAAACTACTTTTTTTGCGCGACAAACATGACAACATGAATTACGATTACACTTCCGAAATTGGGAAAAGGTTTCTTTTATTTTCTTTTTTCGATTTTTTGTTGTTTGCTAAGCATATTTAAAATTAAACTATCGATGCTATGGTACTGAAGATGGCAATTGATTGATTGGAAAAGTATCGAGTCGGAGAAACAAAATTTGTAATAAAAATACTACATACACTTGAATGTTTGCTACCACCACCTACCTTGGAGACTTTCATTTTGTCGCGTATTGTGATTGAACGAGTATGGAATTGAAGCGTTTCTCAGGCGGAGCTGGGCGAAAAGTGAAGCTGGACATAATTTGCGAATAATCGATGCCAAAAGCACAAAATTTTAGCATTTTAAGGGTGGGAATATATGATAATAAGTATTATAAACGCATTTTTTATCGTGACCGTTTGTTATTCCCTGAAGTACATACACAGACCGCTACAGAACGATAATCAAAGTGGAATTAACGCCCGGTTACTGATTGGAAACGCAAACAAGTCGAAAAAAATAAGATTTTTGTAAATGAATGGAAACAATTTATTGTAATTCTTGTTTTATTCATCTTTAACAACGTACGAAGTGAAATTGTTTGCGTTTCCAGTTGAAATTGGACAATGAACTCATGGGATTTACACACAAGTGCCATGTCGAATCGATTTTTTTACATGTCGGCATCTCATCTCGGTAAATCCTCGCAGGAATCCCTCAACGCGCATTTCTGAATCCGATTAGCAATGCCTATAATAATAATGCACAACATCCATCAAAACATCAAACACATAATCCTATTAGACGTAGTTTTTTTAGCGTATTAAGATTGTAATAACATTTGAAATAATAAAACGAAGCTTGCGTCTACCGAACGTAGGCAACCAGTCTTCCATCTTCATCGATGGATTCAAAATGCACGGATGGGATGGGATTCTCCAGATAGAAACGAAAAATAAATTCATCAGGACGCCACACGAAACTTAAGAAAGCTCATCTTGTCACCCACACCCATTTGCATTGTCTACATTACTCATGTTTCTCCATATTTCTTAATCTGTAAATCGTGCTGATTATAAACAAACAAAAAAATAACAAATGAACTAATGTAAGGCGTGTGAAAATGCTCATATTGTGTGTCTGCTATGAAATGAAAAATGAACTTGCAGCGACATATCCTTTGCGTTTGATGTCTCGTTCTTGGTACTTTAATTCGAAACGTTTTTTCTAAGATATAATTTATCGACGGACATTTAGCTTTGTAAGCGAGAAGAAAACACAAAAAAATGTGGTCAAAATTCGGAAAAATACAAAAAAATATATGAACATGCAAAGAAAGAGGGAATGTTGTGTCTAAGTTACGAGCATAATAAATTTGTATCATAAAACCGAAGCTTTCATTTAAATTTAATTATGATAACTATCAAAAGGAACAGTTAAATGTTTATTAAAGGAAGCTTCTGTAATTTTAATTTCCTTGTTATTTATGTTTAATTTACTTTGTTGAATAATATTTTATGTCAGTTGATTGTAGAATTCAAAAGGGTGTAATGTGGGTTGCCTACCGCTAACGCTTAATTGTTTCCTGCGTCTGCCGCACAGGTTTGCCGCTTCTGGCGGTTGATCGCCTTAACCTGAAAAGTATCAAAACTTCAAGAGAAAATAAGGGTTTATCACCCCTAGCGTTTCGTTTTTTGTGATCAAACATTTAAAACATTGTGTGGTAATCATCTAGTTAAACTATCGACAAGAGTTTCGAATGTAGCGTCGTCAAGAAGTTAATTTATGTTGTGTGTGTCTGAAAATTCTAAAACCACATGTAAGTTTCTTGAAATTTAATATTCAGTAGTACATTGCATTCCATGAACCAACATCTTGTCATGTAATGAATGTTATTTATTTATAGTTTATGTGCAGTTTTTAATATGTTGTGTTTTTCTTTTAGATGAACATTTTCATCTAATTTGCTTAACTCAAGCAAAAAGTCTAAAATGGAGCAATACAAATCAGTTTACTCCAGCAAACAGTTCTTCACAATTCCTGAAACAATTTTTGATCTATACAAAGAATCAGCTAATGCAGGTAAACAAACAAAGTGTATTTAATTTATTATCATTGAATCATATCATATGTAACCTCTTCAAATGGTTTAATATTTTCAAATTGTTTTTACCAGAAAATGAAAATGATGTTATTGGTGGCATTTCATTTGACACCAAACACTCCTGGCTGGCTATAGGCCCATATCTTCAAGTATTCTACACAAAGTCGGCAAAAGTGCGCTCGGTATGGTGTTTTGGAGCAGTTGCAAAAGAACCAAATGCAAAAATCGTTTGCATTCAAGAGTTGAAAATTCCCTATCAAGATTGCACACTTCTAGTGGTAGGCTTAGAATATGGCCTTCACACTGGCATGGTTTGCATATACAATTTATCATGTGCCAAAGTACTCAGGGCTATAGAAATTCCTCAGCATGTAAGTTCTAAAATACATATAATATAAAATTCCCATAAAACGTAAAATTCTCTATTTTATAGGTAACATCACTACATGTAGTGAATGCAGGCAATGACACACCCTTTCCTGGGCCCTTATCAGCCCTGGACGGCATCATCGCAGTGGGAACAGTCGGCGGAGCAGTTTACCTCATTGATTTATGTCGAGAATTAATCTCGGAATCAAGAAAACTAGCGAATGTATTAGATATTCGCAACGAATCACGTCCATGTCAATTGAGACTCCTCTCAAAAACCGATATCCTCGATTTAGAATCACATAAAATCGCTGCGGAACAAGATGGAACACACGTCGCAATTCTACTCAACGATCAAGAGGTGTCAGGAGTACATTTTGAACTGAAAGCGCCCGAAGGTAGAAATGTTATTCTTGCATCTAAGAAAGAAGTTGATGTGAGTACACTACAATACGCTCCGCAGTTATGCAGTCTATTCGTCGGCTATAATTTCGGGGCTTTGCAAATCTGGAACTTTCTTTCACTGGATCTCGAATACACTTCACCAGTTTATGAAGAAAACATGCCAGTGTCATTCATAGCAATTCAGGAACCTATAGACGACCCGCGTGCGTTTTGTTACTTTTGGGCTGTGTATAGTTATACAGGTCGGTGTCATGATGCGTTTCCACTAGCAGCGTTATACGCGTTAAGCTACGAAAGTAAAGATTATCACGAAGGTTACGGATATATCTATCGTGGTCTACATGGCTGTTCCGTAAGATTTCAAGCAAATTTACGCATGATTGATCGCAGTCATTGTACGTCTGCAACCGGTGCAAATTGCCTCAAACTACAATCTTACACTAAAGTTAATCAGAATAACACACATGCGGAAACTTTGTCTGTGAACGATGAGTATGCGCTTTGCATGATGGTGTGGAACGTGCGTTGTCACGAACATAAGTCCCACACTTATTTAAGTCTGTTTGATTTGAATCAATGGTACAAGGAACAAATGCCTAATTTGGCCTACCAGCAACACTACATGAACTATATGACACATTTGTGTTTGACTGAAGGTAACGCCCCGAAGGACTACGCCATTTTGGACGCGCAAATTGATCCGTCGTCCATTGATCCATATGTTGGAGCGAATAGACTAGAAGAACATTATCGACCGTCATCGTTAGCGTTCAATTTGGTGACTTTGACTGAAGTTGAGGTCGTTTGTCAGAGTAATCTAGGCGCACAGCGTGGGTTGTTTAAAGAATTAGAGGAGGCAGGTCCTCTTGCATTGATGCATCCGCAGGAATGGTATAACTCTGCGCGGACTTTGGGTTTGGCGCCATTGTTTCAAGATATGCCTGTAGATGCTGCTACAAATGTACAATGTGATATTCTGTTGTCTATCGCATTGGAAAGAAAAATGTTGAAATGGTTATGCAAGTGCGCTACGTCTTGGGGTAATGGAAGTCATCGTTCAGTCGGTTTATCACTAGAACTATTACTAAAATGGGGTTGGGAACGCACTAAAACATTGAAATCACATGTTGATAGATACTGCGCTTGTTTGTTTGATTACTCCGGTACGAAACTCGATGCGAACTTGAGCGCGGCCATTACTGCATGTCGAGTGCAGTTTGGCAATCTTAAAGATTTGTTTCACTTTGTTGTCAAGCACTGTGATACGTTCCTTGTATATCCAGATATTATCAAACAACAACTCACATGGATGCAGAAAAATTACGCGTATTTTAATGTAATTGGTTGGATGATCAACATGAAACTTTTACCGGAATCTAACTTGACTTATCCAGTCGAAGAAATTGCTTGTTTATATCAACAGCGCCGCAATTATCTAAGATCTTTAGATCGTCATAGTTTTAATGATTATTTGTTCATTGATCAATTGACAAATGTAACTGCATTGCGCAATGAGTGGAAAGATGTTGAAAATGGTAATATGCAGGGTTTTTATCCCCCGCGGACGATGCAAACTTTATTGAGAACGTATTTTAATGAATCGTTGGATGTCAAAATGGCGCACTCATTGTTAGCGTATGCAATGCTTGATTTAGTCATACACTGCCAAGGCACTCAAGACAATCAAAATATCTCAGCGACTCTAATCAAATTCCCACAAATCTTTGATTTGAGTATGAGTAATACAAAAATGATTCAGGCCTTCTGGCAGTTTGATCGCGGGCAGTTGGAACCTGCGATTAGTCAATTGGTATCCAGAGTAATACATCCTCATGATTTGACTGTCGAACAGCATCGATTTATTGTAAAGATATTGCAACTTCAAGGGCAGTATCGATTGGCGTTGAAGTACATGAAGGCGAGAAACACCAAAGGAAACAAGGAAGATGTCCAACACTTGATTCAACTGCATGTACGTAATAAGATGCTGTTTGAGGCTTTGTCGATTGAAAGGAGACACAGTGATGATGATCTCCTGGAAGCTTTCTTCTCTGAATGCCTACAAGCTGATGTGTTAATGCAGTTGGTGAGTTTCAATTTTACGAAGAGTGAAGAATTGGCTTTGTTGAAATTCATGGATATGTCGAATTATTCCCGGAGAGAAGAGTTTAAGACTATTTATTTCGTAAGAAGAGGAAGGTTTCTCGATTTCTACATGCAGCACGATAAGGAAGCAACAAAGAGACAAGCATTGCCTTCGTTGGTAAAGAACACATTGGATAGCATTCTTCCTGAAGTCACTAAGAAAGTTATTAGTACTTGTTTAGATCTGAAAGGGTTGACTTATGGAAATACAAAGAGTTTGGGTGCATATGTTTGTAACTCACAGGAACGAGCAAAGTTTAACAATGACTTTGTGAAAGCTTGTGTTGTGAATTGTAAGTCTTCCTGGAAAGGTACCGGAGAACTTACCGAGGAAGATTTTCCTTTCGTTTGTCCTCCATGTAAACGAGACACTCCATCAATGAAAAATATTATTTATACTCGTGGGGTGCAGAAGTTAATACCGAGAGTTAAAAAAGTAGAGGATGAGGATGAAGACAGGGAGGAACCACCTTCGAAACGAATGCGATTCGATAAATCACGCGATGAAGAAATGATGAACATGACCACTATTGAGACTTACTTTCATCGTAGTCTCGCCCCTCAAACACCCAACGCTAATCAAACTATGGGCGTTGCTACACCACTCAGCATTCTGAAAACAACCACTCATTCGCACCGAGGCGAGTCTATCACTCCTGAAGATTTGACTGATTTAAGGCGGTCGATGACGCCTAAGTTGGCCACGCCAAGTGTGCGTTTCACTGGTCTGACATCGAATAACTCAAGCAATAATAGCTTTTCCATAATAGCACCGATCAGTACCAGTAATACTAAGGAGAGCACAACTACAGATTACTTTTCCGCTGAGCCATCCTTTGACGAGTCACAGAAAGTACCTCAGGAAATCCAGGAAAAAAATGAAACCAGGAAAAGGAAGCTTAGTGCAGATGCACCTGTGAAAGATGTGGCAGATGCTACTTTGTTTAATGATGTAGAACCATCGATTTTGCGTAGCACTAGCATAGGCAATTTGAACGCTAATAAATTTCTAGAGTCTATGCAGAAAAGTTATGTTGAGGAGGCGTTACCAGAAGTTAATCCACCAACAGCATCACCAGTACTCAATGAAACTAAAAATCCAGAAGTCTTCAAATCGGTGTTTGTTTTCACTGGTGCAGATGATGTGGACACCTCTGCTTTGACTCCAAAGGCGAGGGACACGTATCAAACACGTGGTGATAATTCTGTAAATAAGAACATATCCCTAAATCGACGGGTTCTTGAGTCTAAAACGAAGGAAATTCGTTACGAGAGTAAAGTTGTAACAGTAAACACTGAGGAAGTCCGTGTAGATGGGGGTGAATCGGAAACTAAAACTGTTTTACATGAAGTAGATGTTACTGACACCAAGAAAATTACTGTATGTGATGTTGAACAGCCGGAAGATAAAAGTATAGAAGACATGGAGACTGAAAATGTGGAACATAAAGACATTAATATTACAAATGAAGAAGCCAGTTTAGAAGAGAAGAACATGCAAGATGTAGAGGAAACACCAATAACACCCAAATCAAAGTTGATTATGAATAAAACTGTTATTGATTTAACTGATACGCCTAAGATTCACGAGAGCATCTTTCAACGTCCTGGTTTCGTCGATTACTTTTCTTCGCCCAGAGGTAATACTCCGTGTACGTTACCCAGCATAACTAAAATGTTTTGGTCTGGGTCATCAAAACCTTCGGAAACGAAGATATTTAAGTTGGATCTAACGCCAGCAAAAACTGATTCGACAAAATTACCTGCTCCTGCCTCGTACCTACATGCTTCGAATACTTCTAATGTAACTTTTGGTGGACTAAAACCGGCAAAGTTGAATTTAAGCACGAGTGCAACCTCTTCATTTTCGGGTAGGTCTGCAACTGAAAAGAGTTCCGAAAACACAACGGAATTGGATATTTCTGCTGTTGAAATGGATGCTCAAAATGATGAAGCAACTGGTTCGGAAACCCTAAACCATCGAATCAATCAATCCCCATTATTGAGTTGATTGATACACCAGTAATCAGCAAAAGTTATTTCGAGCGGCCTTCTTTTATTGATTATTTCGCTGATTCTGTTGCTTCAGAGGATGATGCGATAAAGTTACAAGAATCAACAGCAGCATCTTCTGATGATGGTGTACAAATTGTTGATGTAACCGAGGAAGATGGTCAAAAGGAAGATTCTGAGGAAGCAGGTGCGGAAAATGCGGATACCGAACCCCAAGTTAACATCTATGAAGACTTATCTAATCCAGCAAGCAGTAGCCATCATTACATCATTGATCCCGTGATGAATAACTACAATCAACCGCAAGAGACCGACTATCAAGCTGGTTTGGTTATTTCTGGCCAACAACAGACAGAAAAAGTTGTTGAAAATCCCGAAGGAAATATCGGATATGATGCAGAACCACTTCCAGCTGAGGAAATGTTTCAATCGATGGAATCGATAAACGATGAAGACTCTCGGGAGGAACTTACTATTGCTGTAGAAGAGGTTATCAGCATTGGTAGCAGCAGCGATGGTAAAACAAGTAGCCAGAGTGATACCACGAGTGAGTCCAGTCTTACTGAACATTCGAATTCTGAAGTAGAAACAGCAGATGTTGCTTTTGTTGCAGATTCTGACAGTGCTTCAGGTAGCAAAACGTCGCACGAGAATCTCGACGAGAATGTCAATGAAGTGAAAACTAGTTCAAAGAGCGAGTCGGATACGGTTGTCACTGAATCTAGCAATGGTGTGAAGGAACAACTACAGGAGAATAATCTTGAAATCAAAGAAATTGTCGAAGAAACAGAGAAGCCAATTGAGGAACTGTCAAGTACACCGAAAAAAAGAACCAGAACCAGAAGTTCTTCAAGCAAAGGTGATGCACCTACTTTGACGATACAGCTTCGATCGAGAAGAAGTAGTGTATCTTCAGAAATAGCTGAGCCATCTGTGACGCCAGAACCTAAAATACCAAAAGCGATTCAGAGGACACGGAGCATGTCTACGGATACACCGCCTACACCGACCAAAACAGCCGCAAGGAGGAGTCTACGTGCAAGAAGTGTAGATGTGGTTGCTTTGAACCCAATTATCGAAGAGGTGAAACCTTCACCAAGAAGAATGTCTCGTCGATTATCAGAACTCAAAGAAGCCAGGGAGGCTGAATCGCCAAAATCACAAGAAACTACACCTGCAAATACTTCTGAAACGTCAGACCTTATGCAAGCACGTCGCTTGACACGAAATCAGAAGCAACTCATGAATGATCGCTCGATAGACCGATTGCAATTGTTGGATAAGGACGACTTCCAGGGTACTTCTGATCCGGAGGAAGTAAATCTTCTGCAGAGGTCTCCTCCGTCGAGTATCGCAAGCAGCAGCGCTGCGGAGAACGCTCGACAAGTGAAAAATCTCGAAGAGGCTTCCACACCTAAAAGACGTCCTGGACGACCCAGGAAGTCGCCCACACCGGAGCCCATTGCATCTGCTGCCTCTACAGATTCCGGAAGTCGTACTCCGCGACGCACCACCCGGAAAACTATGAGTATCATTGCGGAAGAGGTAGATTCGGAAGCCACATCAACTGTTCCTGCGAAAAGGGGAAGGAGACGGAGTAGCGCAACACTCAGTGCGAAATAAATTAGTATTGTATACTAACTAAAGTGGTAGGGTAGGTATGGTTGAAATAAAGAAAAACATAATGAAGTAGTAATGGTGTAAACTGAGGGAAATTGTTTTGTTGTATTTTTTTTTCTATTAAAACAACTTTTTGGTATTAAAACTCATTGTTTTCTATAATATTTAGGGATGTCTATGTGACAGGCAATAGCTTTGAAACAATCGTTGCTTATCGTTTAATTTTTATGTTTTTTTGCTGTATGTCAAAAGTGCCCTTTTTATTTCTATTTCTTATAACGTTTTATTGTGATTTGCGCGTGGTGAGCAATCATGAGTTCCTGCTCTAGTAGTAAAAAGATCCATCGTCGGGTAAGCATTTATTTTGAGTGTTACTTCCAAGTCTTGTTAATTTAATTTTCTTTTGTTAGAATTTGCATCCTCGCGTGTCGCTCCTTAATCGCTACAAGTACAACAATGCGTACTTAAATTATTGTACCGAGTTCCTTCGGCAGCCGGAAACGCGACAGCTTGGAAAACCGACTTGTCGAGTTAAAGTAGCAGCTGAGCAATGGATGCGTATGACTGATGAAGAGCGCGCTCCTTACAAATCGTGCGCCGAGTACCATCAACAACAAGCTGCTCTCGAACGATCGAAGTGCCCAAAACAAAAACCGAAAGTAAGCAAATAGGCTGCCAGCAAAGGTGTGCTTAAGGCACCTTATAAATCTTGATTGACATATCTTAATCAATGTGTGTTTTTATTCTTAGAGGGTGCGCCGGATTTGTTCCAACTGTGGTCATCGCATGCGTAAAAAGAGTCGTAAAATGAAGAAACAACCACTTCCGGCAAAGGCTGCGCCTATGTCACAGCAGTGTCGGACATCACGACCGGTCAAAGTCGAACCCCGAACATCTCAGCGGCGGCGGCAATCTCATCATTCAGGGCCGGAAGATTTCAGTGCTACCGAAATGTTTGAAAGTGACTCTGTGGTATCTTCTGTGAGTTCTTTTTGATCCATATTTTCAAATTCCCTTCTAACGAACTGCTAAATACACTATTTTGATCTGAAACGTGGGTATTTTTTTTTATTAAAATAAAGTTGATTGTGTGTTGGTTCTCTACGTGACTGCGACAATCGAGTTTACCTGTTTATGTCCTCGGTCGTTGCATCGAACGTATCGCAATACTGATAGTAACCGCGTGTTGTCGCCGTTAGCTGTGCGCAAGCAGTTCCATTCCGGTTGCCGAGTGAATCGCGCGTGTTCATCGCGACTAATTTAGTTTCTTCAGATCGTAAATAAGCAAAACGATGAATTTTCAAAACAATCATCGGTATATACCGGGAACGGGGTTTTGTATATGTGATTGCACGCGTTGAATGTTCAACAATCGCGAATTAATCGACGGTATACCGGTGCGCGTGTGATGTTCCGTCGGCCGTCGCTGAATATAAGTCGTGTTGGTCTACGTATGCACCGCGTGCGTGTCCATCGGCAGTCGTTTATCTTTTCGCATATAGGAAAAACTTTGATTTATAATTATTTCCTGCAGATAAACAACGTTGGTGCCCAGAAGAAGTTTGTGAGAGCCCCGATCCATGGAGTTTGTAATACCTATAGCGTAAGTGTTGCAGATGCTCGTACTTTAAGGCAAGGCTTTACCACTACGGGAAATGATAGTCGCAAATTGTTTTCTTGTTCAAAAAATATGTATATATTTTTAAAAGTTATTAATAAAACATTTATTACACTTATATTCTTATGCACATTTCTATTTGGTACCCTCTTGGTCGTTTTCAGTATTAAAATAGTATGGCATATAAATCTTAAGTGCGTGGCGCAGGTATAACATAACTGTTGCTTGAATTGTGTTGTTGTTTTTAAAAACATGATAAAAGTAGAAACATAAATAGAAGAATCAAACATTAATGATAAAAACACTCGGTGGTCGAGTGGAGACGTGCACCTGCTGGCATGCTAGCAGGCACGGATCGAATCTCAGGTATAGAAGGCATTTTTCTCAAATATAAAAATATCAGGTGCAATTTGGGTTGCATATATGAATTGCAACGAAATATAAGAGAAATTGAAATACAAGTGAAGGCAATATGAGAAATATGAAAGCAAGTGGAGGAGCGGGAACAGAGAAATAGAAGAAGAACAACAAGGAGTAGTAGCAGAGAAGAGTAGAGACAGAAGGAAGAGAACAGAGTAGAGAAGAGGAGTAGATAGAAAGAAAGAGAGAATAGGGGTGACGGAATTTTTAAATTTTTTGGCACGTGTCGTTATAAGACAGCCCACTGCTTCGGTTCGTCCATTGCTCCCGGCCCATCCTACAGCTACGATGTCTCTGCGCTTCATCCCCGAAATTATCAGGCATATCAACAATTTTTATGGTGGGGGATCACCCCCAGAGAGGGGGAACTCCTTATAAGGACAATCCTTATAAGGTCTTGTTCAAATATTTCTAAGTTTTAAGTCGTCTCAAGAGAGGCGACACTTAAAAATATTCTTACAAGTTCTGAGCTATAGCTGAAATGAAAGATGGAGCACACAAATCATACAGGTTACCTTAACAATTTATATAGAGGGGATCATCCCCTGAGAGAGGGAACTCTTTTAGAGACCTGTACCTGAAATGATAGAAGGGGTACATTCAAAGCATAAGACATACTATTTCTAAACATTTCTTTATTAATAAACACAATGTAATATAATACAAGTTTAATACCTTAACAATTTCTATAGTGGGATCATCCTCTGAGAGAGGGAACTCTCTTAGAGACCTGTGCCTGTAGTGATAGAAGGCGTACGTACAAATCAAAGAAGTAAATATATCTCACTATTTATTTATTTACAATAGAATACAAGTTTATATTTTACATGTCAACAGAATACGTGCCGCCATATTGAAGCAGGACTTACGACCTGCATAGTCGCGCACATGCAAACAAGTACTACTTTGTAAAGTTCTACCGGGATAATGAAATTAACAAATAGCCTATTTTCTAGGTGATTGAAAATGAACACAAATATACAGGGTGTTACAAAAAGAAAATTTACAACGCAAACAAAAAACTATCACTAACACTACAAACGTCGCTCCTTTTCTCTAGACGATCAGGGAAACTAATATACAGGGTGTTTCAGAAAGAAAATTCAAAGTGCAAAAAAGAAAATCCTAAAAACAACAGTTGAAGCAAAATTTTCACGGACACAAAAGAAAACTAATATACAGGGTGTACCAGAAAGAAAATCCCAAGTTCAAAACAATTAACATTCAAAACTCACAAATGAAGGCAATCTTCTACGTGCGGTTAGGAAAATTAATATACAGGGTGTTACAAAAAGAAAATTTTCGAAACAACAAAGATAATTAATATTCACATCATGACACCGGAAATTTATATGGAAACAAAATTATTTTAATATAAATTAAAAGATTTCACCTGAAAATGATCGCAAGAAGGTGCTAGAAAAGATAACAATTACATTTTAATATATTGTGAATATATATTTATTAATTAATTAAACCGACGAGTGAAGCATCATCATAAATTGATAGAATATCCGGCGGAAAACGTCTAAATCAACACCCGGCAAGCGACGGCGCGTGGCATTACTGCCTTTAAATACGATAAAAATAACTAGGTAATTCTTTGTAAATATTAAGATATACGGAGACTACGAAAACGAAGAACTATTCTCCGTACAAGATTTTATTACGTCAGCAAGAGACTTCTTAATTTAATGATGCTAACAATTGAAATTCGATTAAAAACGTGCACGTGTTCAGCGAAAAAATGACCGAGCCGACGGCCGACGGCAAAGTGAGCGCGGTCGACCACATGAATATTGTTATTTTAATAATCCTCAAATAATTTTTAAAACCGTCTTTGTAATAATTAAATCATGCATGTTATTTTCGGAAACGGGACTAATAATTCTGATAGGAATTGAACCACGTGTTTGTAATTTGCAAGATAATACAAGCAAAATTAATATCCCTCAAATGGAATAATCAATTTAAGTTACACCGCCTTAAGTTTCCGTGAAAAAAATTTATTACACACCTACCTTTGCATTGATGAGGAAATTCTATATCCTGTAATATATTCTACCAACTAAAAACTCGCGTAGGGATTAACAAACACTTATTTCTTAGTTAAGAAGACTTTAACCCCGACAAATCATTAAACAAAACAGTCGCACATGTCCGTCCCGAATATTTTGCTGATGGCCGAAAGAATACACGTTAAATAATCCAATTAAAACCTCAAAACGCGTGGCGATTAGAGGGACACGACTGCGGACCACGCGGTATAACGACTGCGGACCACGCTGTGTAACGACTGCCGTGTGCGCTGCGCGTTGCCAGGTACAAGGCAGGTACGTCGCGATAATACGCGTCAGTCAAACAAAAAAGTTGTTTATAACAAACGTAGTGATAAGCCCGTAGTTGAGAAGACCAAAATACACGAGTACAAGTGTACGAGTACAAGTACACGAGTACAAGTGCGTATACACACAAATATCATTATAACTCGCGTTACGGAATTTTCTCGCAATAAATTTCGATACAGGGAAATAAAGAATTAAATTCCGCATCTGGGAAAATTATTCTGAATTAAGTTTGAAACCGCGTTCGCGAGTTATAACAAGAAAACTACAATTCCTAGCGCAACGAGTACAAGTACAAATGTGTATACACACAATTATCATTATAACTCGCGTTACGGAATTTTCTCGCAATAAATTTCGATACAGGGAAATAAAGAATTAAATCCTGCATCTGGGAAAATTATTTTGAACTAAGTTCAAAACCGCGTTCGCGTGTTATAACAAGAAAACCACAATTCCTAGCGCAACGAGTACAAGTGCGTATACACACAACTATTATTATAACTCGCGTTACGGAATTTTCCCGCAATAAATTTCGATACAGGTAAATAAAGAATTAAATTCCGCATCTGGGAAAATTATTCTGAACTAAGTTTGAAACCGCGTTCGCGAGTTATAACAAGAAAACTACAATTCCTAGCGCAACGAGTACAAGTACAAATGTGTATACACACAATTATCATTATAACTCGCGTTACGGAATTTTCTCGCAATAAATTTCGATACAGGGAAATAAAAAATTAAATTCCGCAACTGGGAATATTATTTTGAACTAAGTTTGAAACCTCGTTCGCGAGTTATAACAACAAAACCACAATTCCTAGCGCAACGAGTACAAGTGCGTATACACACAATTATCATTATAACCCGCGTTACGGCATTTTCTCGCAATAAATTTTGATACAGGGAAATAAAGAATTAAATTCTGCATCTGGGAAAATTATTACGAACCAAGTTTAAGACCGCGTTCGCGAGTTATAATAAATTGCTAGCGCAACGAGTACAAGTGCGTATTCACACAACTATCATTATAACTCGCGTTACGGAATTTTCTCGCAATAAATTTCGATACAGGGAAATAAAGAATTAAATTCCGCATCTGGGAAAATTATTCCGAACTAAGTTTAAAACCGCGTTCGCGAGTTATACTAAAAAAGCTACAATTCCTAGCGCAACGAGTATTAGTGCGTATACACACAATTTTCAATATAACTCGCGTTACGGAATTTTCTTGCAATAAATTTCAATACAGGAAGATGCAGAATTAAATTCTGCATTTGGAAAAATTATGCTGAACTCATTGAGACACCGCGTTCGCGTGTTATATCAATAAAACTACAATTTCTAGCGCAACGAGTAGGGGAAGGGGGGGCAAAGTGGGCCCCTGAAATTCAGGTGGCTTAAAAAATTGAGGGGCAAAGTGGGCCCTCTAAAATTTTTGATAAATAAGAGGGGAAAATAATTGACATCAACAAATTCGAAGTAAGAAATGAAAAAAAAATATATAAACAAAAAATGGATACAAATGTAATAGCAAAATTTTTATGGGCGGGGGCCTACTTGCCCCATATTCTGATTTTTTTTTATTTTGATAGACACGGCTTATTAATATTGAATACTGAACAAGGATGTAAAAAATAGGGTAACGAGTGAAAAAAGGTAAACAAATC